ACTTCTGAAAAAATATTGGTTTATCACATCATCATGAACTTCTGATCTGGATCTTTTTAGATTTTTAGCATTCCTTTGAGTAATCACAATTTTTGCCTCCGGAAAGAATTTAGCCAGTCATTGCCAGGAAGGTTTTCTTTAAAGCAACTAATTATTACTGCTTTGTGGTTTAGATATGACTGCACTCTTTTGTCTCTTGTCTTGCAAAAGATTATCCATTATCCGCAGATCATCTGTGGCAGATGTAGGTTACACTTGCAATCTACCCAAAGGATAGACGATTGTTTATCACCTCTGCCACGGCCAATTCAATATTTTCTGGGTGATAATTTCTTTGATACACTGTTCCAGGAACATGTTTATGCTTTTAAGGCATCGTCACAGAACAAAACTTATTTTACATAATAGTCCTGGAGCATAAAGCAATAAAATATTCTCCGTGGGATTTGTTTTGAAGGGATGATGGGACTATATGGGATAGCTTTTTTATACCTTTTTGAGTTGTGTGGTACCGGGTGTTTACCTTGAAAATATGTCTGGTGGTGTTTATGGCATTTCTAATCCAAAATGTCCACCATTTTCGACATTCACTTATAAAATGCAAAATAATTAATTTTATTGTGCCCTTTGAAATAAATTACATATGACATTTTTTGATTGTCATATGACCGTGTATCGAAACAATTGTATAATTTTATGGGCCGTCAAATTTAATGGCCCATCAATTTTTTTAGCCTCTAGCAACAGTGACTTTTTTGAAATAGATAGAAATGTCAAAAGTATTTTACTAAATACTTAATTTTAACAGTTTTCTTTTAAAATATTTATTATTACCTATTTAATTTTCATTTCCTGTTAATTATAATGTTTTACAAGGAAAAATAGAAACTTTATTTTAAATTTTTAGGGTTATTTTGGTGCGCTAAACACAAAAAACTTAATTATTTTTTTCTTATTTGGGCCATTCACCTAGATGACGGTTTATTTTTGTTTTTTAATTCAATATTTTACTTAAATCAGCATCGAGAGGGAATGCCAAATCCGATATATGGTTTGAAAGGTGGTTAAATTTCGCATCCGTAAAAACATCGTTTTAATCGAATCAAAAATAGCTGAGTTCAAATTTCTTGCAAAATGGCTCCAAATCGATCCATGCAAAATATAAAAATTAGGGGTGTGCGAATATCGTTCGATTCGGAATTCGAATCGAATAATTTGAATTTTCTAATTATTCGAAATTCTACGAATAATTCGAAAAAAATCGAATAATCCAAAAAATTTCGAATAATTCGAAAAATTTCGAATAATTCTAAAAATTTCGAATAATTCGAAAAATTTCGAATAATTCGAAAAATTTCGAATAACTCGAAAATTTTCAAATATCTCTGGATTTTCAATTGCATCCAATTAAATTCCTTTAAATCGTGTATCGAAATATTCTACTTACCAATAATATACTTTTCGTTAAAAAATCAATTACCTAGAGAAAAAAAAATCTATAAGAAAAAGGTCACTCATGTAATGTTTCAGTATCGTATTTATTATTTTTGCACAAAAATTTGTAGCAAATTTTCAAATGTTGTATTTCTGTTATTTCATTCTCTTTCAAAAAAAAACTATACTTTGTGTAACTATATTTCATGGTTTGAATAAAATGTATGTTGACTGTTAAATTCATATTTGAATATCGAACATAGGAAACCCTAAATTCAAAATACTCAAAAATTCGCTAATAATATAATAGTTTACGAATATTTCGAAAAAATTTCGAATTATTCGAGAACTTTCGAATAATTCGAATTTTCGAATTATTTGATTCGAGTTCCGAATCGAATATTATTATTCGATTCGGAACGAATAATTCGTAAGTTGGAATTTTTCGCACACCCCTAATAAAAATATTACAATATGTCAGTTTTAAAAGCAAATATTTTCTTAAAGATTTGAGATAAAAAAAATGTTTTAAATAATTTTTTTCCTTTTTTTTGGTTATTTTAAGAGATTATATAATTTTTTTTAATAGGACCACTAATTACGAAACTATGCGACATTTTATAAACGCATACCTGAAATAACAGTTAGGTATCGGATTATTGACGTCATAAAAAATTGACACATTTTTAAACAAAACACCCGATAATACACTACTGCCTTGTGTATAAAAAACTGATTTTAGATAGTTTTATCTTCCCTTCACAAAAAATCCCACGGGATGCACTATGCTCCAAAACTATAAGGCATCGTCCAAATAACCCTAAAAATTTTTGGATTAATCCATGCAAAAAGCAACTGTTTAAAAAAAACACTAACAAATTGTTTGTGGTGATTGTTTAGGTTACTAAAAGTTATTTGCCATCCCTATCAGATAAAAATTACCTTATCTTTTAATTATTTTTCCAAAAAACACGGAAGAATTTGCACAAAATTTCGCACGATGTCAACACTTAACCTAAAATAAAGAAATAAACACTTCGTGATAGAGCGGTAAATTTGAATTTTTCTTCGTTTGTTCCGTGTAACCCATAGAAATAATACCACAGAATTTTGTGATAATACTATGGTGTAACCTCTGTTGTTCCATCACCTAACTACGATAGTAAACCTTTATTGAAACTATAATAATTTTAGGTATCTAAAAGTAGATTTTATGTATTTCGGCCTTATTTTTAAAACTATGACTTTAAAAATTATATTGCATAGTTAAATTTGATTTTACTTTTATAACTAATGTTACAAAGACTAAAAATTTTAAAAAAATCCACATTAAAAATTTTCTCGACGGGACTTAAAATAATTTTATGTTGCTAAATATGTGTGTTTTGGAACGTTGCTGCAACGTTTCTAGCATACAATTTTACAACGTAGTTTGAAAGTGGGTTTTGTGTATTTCGATCGTATTTTTGATATTATATCTTTAAAAAATGTATTGCAGAGTTTGATTTTACTTTTATAAATAATTTATTATAAAAAATAAAAAAAATCCACAATAAAAAATTTGCCGACGGGACTTAAAATAATTTTATGTTGCTAAATGTGTGTTTTGGAACGTTGTTGCAACTTTTCTAGCATACAATTTTACAACGTAGTTTGAAAGTGGGTTTTGTGTATTTCGGTCATATTTTTAATAATATGACTTTAAAAATGTGTTGAAGGGTTTTATTTTACTTTTATAAGTAAGTAATGTATAATAAAAAAAAATTGAAAAAAAAATCCTCAGTAAAAAAATTTTCGTCGGGACTTTGAAAAAATTTTATGTAGCCAAACGTGGGTTTTGGAACGTTGTTGCAACGTTTCCAGCAATACAATTCTGCAACGTTGTTTGAAAGTGGGTTTTGTGTATTTCGCTCATATTTTTGATATTATGACTTTGAAAATGTGTTGAAGGGTTTTATTTTACTTTTATAAGTAATGTATAATAAAAAAAAATTGAAAAAAAAATCCCCAGTAAAAAAATTTTTGTCGGGACTTTGAAAAAATTTTATTTAGCCAAACGTGGGTTTTGGAACGTTGTTGCAACGTTTCCAGCAATACAATTCTGCAACGTTGTTTGAAAGTGGGTTTTGTGTATTTCGCTCATATTTTTGATATTATGACTTTGACAATGTGTTGAAGGGTTTTATTTTACTTTTATAAGTAATGTATAATAAAAAAAAATAGAAAAAAAAATCCTCAGTAAAAAAATTTTCGTCGGGACTTTGAAAAAATTTTATGTAGCCAAACGTGGGTTTTGGAACGTTGTTGCAAAGTTTCCAGCAATACAATTCTGCAACGTTGTTTGAAAGTGGGTTTTGTGTATTTCGCTCATATTTTTGATATTATGACTTTGAAAATGAATTGAAGAGTTTTATTTTACTTTTATAAATAATGTATAATAAAGTATAAAAATTTAAAAAAAAATCCTCATTGAAAGATTTTCGTCGGGACTTAGAAATAATTTTATGTATCTAAACGTGGGATTTGGAACGTTGCTGCAACGTTTCCAGCAATACAATTCTGCAACGTTTCCAAGACAACGTTTTAACTACGTATTTTCCACTTAAAATGATACACTAAGACAACGTTATGAGTATAACAAATTATTATACAAATTTGCAACGTTGTCTGAATGTATGCAAACGTTATTTTCTACCAGGGTATGTTTTTTTAATATTCTATCGGTAACGCGACGGACGTAACGCAACGGAAAAAATGTCTGGGACATGAGTCTAATTTAAAAAAAGTATATTAAAATTAATTAATTTATATATAAATTGTTTACTGTATTAACTAAGGATGTTATGGATTGCTATAAAGCAACACAAAGTTCTGGTTATTCAATATTAAAAAAAAACATGTTTGTAAGTTTTATAAAACGCTTATGGGACATGCGAAAATGTGTGTTTCACAAGTTTCAAAATTAAAAAAAAATATTCTGAAATAACTAAACAAAAATTTTCTGAAAGAGTTTACTAAGGGCTTGTTAGGCTTTCACTTAGTTTTTAAATCAATAACATCCGTTAATTTTTAACAAAGTTATTGGAATTCAAACTTACGGACAGCGGAAGGCGGGTGTTTTTTTAAAACAACCCATGTACTTAATCAACAGGGATGTACACAAACCAAACGTATCTCCCACTGTTTTATTCTGTTCAATTAAAATAAAGTTTGTATACCTATATTGTAAACATTGCCTCCGTGTTTTTATAAGTCTATAACAACACAAAAACAGTGTTTATAAATCCTTTTCATTGTGCTTTATTTTGCAATAACCAAATACAACATCTCTGAATAATTCCGGATATTAATTTTATCGCCATGGGTACCTACAATTTATCTGCTAAAAGTCTTATTAAGTCTTAAAGTTATTCAGACTTTTTTCGACTTAATAAGTCCTATTCAAACTTTTTAAGAGAAAGTAAGACTTTCAAAACTCTTATTAAAACTTTCTCAGAAAAATTTCCACAAGGGTTAACCCACCCCCAATCTTGTAAAATTAAATTAATTAATAATTGTATTTTCAGGGAATCTTTTCGACTACAGCAACTCGTACAATCCTGGTTTTTACTTGGGCGGTATTTCGATAGCTTTAAGTGGAGTAATCCTATTTGCAATTCCATGGATTCAAGCGGAGCAAAAAAAGCACAAGCAAAAGCAGGCTATAGTGAACATATAGCAACCACTGTTGCCCATTGTGGGTGACTTTAGAGACTACAGAACGGTTTAATAAATTTCGGTCTGCAAACTTATAAAAAAAAATATATAAATGTTCCACTTTTAAGGCTAACTTAATCTAACTGTTTTATACCGTTTTTACTCTATTATATATAGATGTTTTGTGTGATTTATCTTATTTTATCATGGCACATATCGTAATGCTCATAGGCTAATACAAATAAGTTGATGCAATCCTACTAGAACTAACATACGACGTCATACTACGACCATTCATAAATCATAAAAAATCACAAACACCATTATCAATAAACCTCCTTGATCTTTAATCCATTTGCATTTTGTATAATATAATAATTTCATCAACCACATAGAAAGTAATCATAAGATGTTTGAACTTAAGTTTTATACCTAATAATCAAGTCTGAATTATTTCAAGTCGCAAAAGGAACACCATTCTTTTGTCTTAAACAGACTGACTAATGACAGGGAAAGATTTCACTTTTTACAACTTTAAACTTTAATCCATATCTTAGTTTGTATATATTTATGTATTTAATACATCTATGAAAGATTTTATATCTATGAATGTTTTTTAACAGATACTTAATAAATGTATCTATTTTATTTTTAGTAAATAGTCTAAGATGGCTAAGATGCACTGATGCATGATTTAAATAAAATATCACCTAAGGATAAAAAAGTCAAGTAGATAACAAAATTTGTTATCTACTTTGGCTTTTTATTAGTTACTTAATGTAAATGATTGAACACATTGAAACCAATGCCTTAATAAGTGCAATATTAAAAATTTGATATAATGTATAAAATAGAAAACTTATATAACCTATAAGAAAATCTTTGAGTTCGTCCCTTATAACAGAAGAAGGTAACAAAAAATCTGGAAAAATTGTTCTGCATTTAAGCTTAAGTTTGAAATAGAAAATACATTTATTATTTGACAACAAATACATTTACTTTTTGGTAACAAGTACTAGGTACTTTAATAATTATTACACTATGATAGTTTTACAAACTTAAGTACACCAGCTTAGTTTAACTAATTTTGGGCCGCTGATTTCAAAAATGTCATTAATTTTTTTCTAGGACGTCTAGGATTTAAAATAATTTCGTAATAAAATGCTCTGCTCAATTACCTCAAAATGTAAGTTTTTTTGTTAGTATTTTAATTATTTATTAAATTATTTTGGCTTAAATTTATCTTGAATGTACTAAAGTAATTGGTATACGGTAAATACATAATATTTATCTTAACAATATGACATTTTAAATACTAAAACTAAAATTTTAATGTATTTTATGTAAAAAAAGAACCATTATTTGACATTTTATTTAAATTATTATATTGAAAGGACAAGTTTCAGTATTTTTTATCCAAATTAAGCCCCTTAAAATTTAATGCATTGCATAATTTTGCTTTTTTCTACCATAAATTTATTAAATCGTATCAAGTATCAAATTGGATTATGGTATTATTGTGCTTAATCCTATAGGATTATAATCACCAATGCTCTAGATTTGCAGTTACTTGGTGAATTCGTTCTCCATGTTCATCAGTTCGGCAAATTTATCAGGATGAAAAAAAAAGTATTTTAAATGACATCTTAACGCCAATTCTTTGCAAAACGGAAAACATTTTTTCAATGAATTGGCGGCAATTTTAGGCCCGATATGAACCAAGAACATTTTCAATGACAGCTTTAACACTGCCATATGCGACAAGCTTGTCAACTTTGAGAACATTTTGAATGCTTGATCTTTCATTAAACGTCGTATATCAGGTCCATTTACTATTCCTGCAAAATTAAAGTAGTAGGTATATCTCATAAAATTTTGTAATGAAATATTGCGTTGGTTTTTCTTGGGCGTAAAGGTACCGCAACAAAAACAAAACAAATTTACAACGACGATATAAATGTTCGTCTCCTTTCTCTTTCTCTGTCACTTCCATTACCACTTCCATTTCCTTCTCTTTTTTCATTTTTGGTTCTTAAAATCACTTTCAAGTAAAAATACAATTTAAAGTTTAAATTTTAAATGTCAATAATTAATAGATGCACTTTAGTGTGCTTGAACGGTAAAGTAGATAAAGGCGCCTTTATTCTTCAATTCGATATTAAATTTTGATAAGACTTAATAAATAAGAATCGAGATTAAATTCTTGGGTACTTTAGGCATGATGTGAATAAAAACATATCAAATAATAGTCGAAGAGTAATGCTTATACCGAAACCCATTTACTGTGTTGCCTTTTCAATTTAATTAGTACTTAAAAAAAACGACACAAAAATATCAAAAAATGATACTTTTTACCAAAAAAAAAACATTTTAATTTTAGTTTTGGTATTTAATAAAGAAAAGTGCTTTATAAAATATCCCTTATATAATACTACTATAGTATATGGCTACAATGAAACAAACAAAATTTCTATTTGACATTTATCTACCAATGACTTTGTATGGACTCCCTGTATATTTTTGACAAAAAACGTCAAAAATATACTGAACATCCAATATAGTTTTAAGGCAAAATAATTTAATAAATAATCAAAATATTAACAAAAAAACTTACATTTTGAGATAATTGGGCAGAGCAGTTTATTACGGAATTATTTCGAATCCTAGACGTCCTGGAGCAAAACGAGTGGCATTTTTGAAATCAGCAGCCCAAAATTAGGTAATATAGGGGGCGTACTCAATGTTAGTAAATCGAACTATCATAGTGTAATTATTATAATTAACTACAAAAATTAAAGCTCTGCGATGTTGAAGATGTAAATAATGATAGGTTTAAACCCTTATTTTTAGAGATTTTTCTGGAAAAAAACATTTAAACACCTCAGGGTAATAGAGTCGCTTAGAAACACGTTAATACAAACGAATCTTTTAATTTTTAGGATTTTTTCCAAAACCGCTAAGTAAATGTCATATGTATATCGTAAAGAGTCGTTGTCAAGAAAATAGCAAAACTCGAATGAAAAGTGACATTTTTGTTTGAAGTGCCAGGTCTGTATAAAAAGATATTGACAGCTACGTCAGATTAGTAAAAAGGTTTAACCGCTGTACGGTTTTCAGATATCAGATAAAATTTCAAAAAAAACTGGCTTTAAATTCTGGAAAAACAAACTTTGTGTTCATCTTAGAAAAAGCATTGGGTTTCACTCGTATGAAAATGTCGCTTTTCAACACGTAAAACAAATAACTACTAATTTTGATACCTTCATCGAGTTTAGGGGATGATCTTGAAGATTGTCAACCATAATAGCTTTATTATTTAACGCAGTCCAAAAATTTGAATAACTGTTGCATGTATGTTTTCTTTTGTCTTCCATTTCATACATAGCATATCTGAGCAATAACCACTAAATTCCTTGTGACACATTTTTGTAAATATTAAGATCCATTGTAAATAAAATTTATATTCTTGATATAATCTATTAATATAACGACTGATTATAGTTATGGATGCTGCTAGGTACTTTTAGATTTTTTATTGTATAAATTATTTATTTTTAAATAATTGTGATCAAATTGATTATCTTTAGTATTTTATGTTAAATATATTATTAATAAGTTTGTACGTGTTTTTATATTCCTATATTAGAGTAGGTTGCTAAATAATGCACAGTTAATGTACTAAATGGTTTATTAATTATAAAAAAGTGTATGTATAAATTACATAAATGAGCAAATTGAGTTTAAGTAAATGTATATACAATTAAAATGAGTGAATATTTCAACAAAAATATCACATATATACAGTTGTATTTATTAAAAAAGTGTACAAGAATAATTCTTAGAATGAGAGAAAACTGTCACCATAATAATAATGCTTAATATAAGGCTTATCGCTTACATAAGTCATAATTATAGGTTATAAAGAAAACATAAAACTATAAAACTGATTTTATAAAATAATTTGTCAAAATTTTTACTTTTGGACTTGTACTGTTCTTAATCACACTGATTCAATTATTATAATCACTTAAGTCAGTGATAAGCCGGTTCTAAGCAATAATATTATGGTGATCGTTTTCTCTCATTGTAATTTTTGTACGCTTTTTTTTATGAATACTGTACTTACTTAAGTTTCCTAAACATATAAATTTACAGAAATGTATTGCACTATTTACATTTTTACAGAAAACCCTTGCACTTGTAATAAAGACCACAAACAATAAATTGGGGCATGCCCTACCTAGAATTATTTTACATATATTTTTTTTATTTATAGTTGCCCTACATTTTAAGAAATAAACTGAGATGGTGGACTACCCCTCCACAAAACAGATTTAATTACAATAACTTAAAGGTTCTGTAATTATAAGTAGGTTTTCTGTGGCAGTTGTTAACAATGTATTGGTTGATACTGAATAATTATAATACTGGTGCAAATAATTATGGACCTATTCAACTCTAATTTTAGTTTCGAATTGCGAAGTCTTTGTTCCTAGCCATAGGGGCACCATATTCATCTTGTTCATCTAAAAAATTAAAATCAACTTACAATGCCGATAGTGTAGAGAACAAATATTGAAAATTTTTATCCCTTTAATAATATGGCAACTGGTTAACTTTACTTACAGTAAGTAGTCTTTTCATCAATTTAGCTTTGTTAACAATTATTTTGCGAATATGATGTATATAAAATTATTAGAAGGAAATTTGTATAAAATAATTTTATTTTAAATTATTAATAACACTGCAGGGAGGTGAAAATATCACAGCTAAATGCTCGGACACATTTGGTTGTAGATTACAAATCCGTGCTTTGTTTAGCTTTATCAGGTCAAAATTTAAATATATTTATAACTGAAGTTTTGAAACATGTATAATTTAAAAAAAATCCAATTGGGGCCCCCACATCGGTTTAAACTAAAAAAGATAAAAATCTTGCAAAATTGAATTAGGAAATTTAAAGTAATTTTTTATTTAATTGAGGATTTTATGTTACATTTAACAAAATAAAAAGCATAAGAAAGTTGTCACAATAGGTAAAATAAATTAGTTTTTCTATTACGGAATATAACCGTTCTAATATCAATTTTTATTGTGGAATGACATATATGCCTTAAAGTGTTACAGAATGAATTATTCTATCAAAGGATTACGGAATAAACACTGGTGGCGACATCTCTGTTTTACATTTTGTTTAGTTTTGAGATAATCATATTTAAAGTAAAAAAACACTTTTAATTTGTAGTCATTGTTTGTTGTTTTATGACTTTGTTTTTCAAGATGTTTACACTTAGAATTCAATTATATCTCTTGGATACCAAGTAAAATGTAAAATTTACCTATATTTTTCTGTACATAACTACTTTTTTTTTAAATGTCACTTGTATCCCTTGGCTTCTAGGGTCTTCAAATGTGTTTCAGACTAAACTTTTTCTACGTATTCAAAAAATACCATAGATAAACGCCATTTTATACACGAATTTAATTTAGGCACGAGCGAACTTGCGAACGAGTTCTTAAATTAATGAGTGTATAAAAAAGTTTATAAACGAGGTGCATACTATACTTTTTCTACGACAAATACTTATTATTATCTTAAAATGATTTAAATCAAAAATTTGTATAGAGCGCCATCTATGAAACAACAGGGGAAACTGTCAAATGTCACATTTTTACATTTTATAAACACAATTATAAAGGTTATAAATCGAAATTTATATTGAAAATTGACAGTTTTTCACAGTGAAAGTAAAGGAAATGTTTTATGAGGACTTTACAGTAGAGTCCGTGCCCGAATTTAAGTTATAGTTTACTGCCGGCGAAATTAAAAGGTCAGTACAATGTTCATATAAACTTTTCAAATAATGGCGTTGAGAAAATATTTAATATTTTTGTATTTTTGTAATGAGATAATAAAATAATTTTCACATTTAGTATTATTTTACAAGAAAGGCACTTTATTTCAACGATTGTATGACATTTGACAACTGTCAACTAACTTAAAACTAACTTCAGCCCGTGACTAAAGCGCCGTAAAGCCACAACTTGTCAATGTGTATTTAAAAGGTCACTTAGGGTCATGGAAATATGTACGATAAAGGGCGTTTTAAAGGTGGGAGTAGAAAAAATAATTTAATTGGAGAAAGTGAGGTTGGATCGGTCTAAAATTTGTTAGATATTAAAAACAGAGATGTCGCCACAAGTGTTTATTCCGTCATCCGATTATAGAATAATTTATTCTGTGTTAAAGGAATATATGTAATTCCACATTAAAAATTGATGTTAGAACGGTCATATTTCGTAATGGAAATATAAAAAAAATATTTTTTTAGCGGTATGGTTGTTTTTAGTGACTTATCTCTAAAATAAAATTAGTTTAACACTAATGTTCTACATCATGTCCCAACCCCATTATTATCCCAACAAACCCATATAACCACAAAACTTTAGTGCTTAAGGTAAATTGCATTATAGGTAATACATATTTTGAAAAACAATACCCAGCAATTTTTATAATTTACTTACAATTACCAAAGGTAGTAAAATAAAATTGAAAAGTTAAATACAATTATAAAGGAAATTATCAAAAACGATCTACTTTAAAAATGCATTGTTCGTATTAAAAGACCTTTCACATTAATTAAACTATGATAGTTCGAATTACTGACATTGAGTACCTAATTTTGGGCTGCTGATTTCAAAAATGCCACTCGTTTTTCCAGGACGTCTAGGATTCGAAATAATTGCGTAATAAAATGCTCTGCAAAATTACCTCAAAATGTAAGGTTTTCGTTAATATTTTGATTATTTATTAAATTATTTTGCATTAAATCTATTTTGGATGTTTAGTATATTTTTGACGTTTTTTGTCAAAAATATGCAGGGACTCCATATAAAGTCATCAGTAGATAAATGTCAAATAGAAATTTTTTTTTTGTTCCATTGTAGCCGTATACTATAGTAGTATTATATAGTGCTTTATATTTAATAAAGGACTTTTCTGCAGAAAAGTGTTTGGTAATAAGTATCATTTTTTTTAAGTTTTGTATCATTTTTTTAATTACTAATTAAATTGGAAAGGCAACAAAGTAAATGGGTTTCGGTATAAGCATTACTCTTCGACTATTATTTGATATTTTTTTATTCACATCATGCCTAAAGTACCCAAAAATTTAATCTCCAATCTTATTTATTAAGTCTCATCAAAATTTAATATCAAATTGAAATCGTTCAAGCACATTAAAGTGCATCTATTAATTTTTTACATTTAAAATCAAAAATATCAAAAAGAGCAGGAAATGGAAGTGGCAGAGAAAGAGAAAGTAGACGAACCTTTATGTCGTCGTTGTAAATTTGTTTTGTTTTTGTTGCGGTACCTTTACGCCCAAAAAAAACCAACGCAATATTTCATTACAAAATTTTATGAGATATACCTACTACTTTAATTTTGCAGGAATATTAAATGGAGCTGATATAAGACGTTTAATGAAAGATCAAGCATTCAAAAATGCTCTCAAAGTTGACGAGCATATGGCAGTGTTAAAGCTGTCATTGAAAATGTTCTTGGTCCATATCGGGACTAAAATTGGGGCCAATTGATTGAAAAAATTCTCACCGTTTTGTAAAAATTAACGTTAATATGTCATTTAAAATACATTTTTATTTTTTCATCCTGATAAATTTGCCGAACTGATGAACATGGAGAACGATTTCACCAAGTAACTGCAAATCTAGAGCATTGGTAGATATCTATGGGTTTAGCGGAAAGAAGTTTGATTCATTGCTAGGAGACATTTGCTGGAATTTGCAGCAAAAGATGTACGACGATGATTAAGCACAATAATACTATAATTCAATTCGATATTTGATACGATTTAACAAATTTAAGGTAGAAAAAAGCAAAATTATGCAATGCATTAAATTTTGTGGGCTTAATTTGGATAAAAAAATACTGAAACTTGTTTACTTTGTTGCCCTTTCAATTTAATAATTAAAATAAACGACAAAAATGTCAAATAATGGTTATTTTTTTACATAAAATTTTAGTTTTAAAATGTCATATTGTTAAGATAAATATGATCTTTTTGCCGTATACCAATTACTTCAGTACATTCAAGATAAATTTAAGCCAAAATAATTTAATAAATAATTAAAATACTAACAAAAAACTTACATTTTGAGGTGATTGAGCAGAGCATTTTATTACGAAATTATTTTAAAAACGAATGACATTTTTGAAATCAGCGGCCCTAAATTAGTGAAACTAAGCTGGGGTACTCAATGTCAACTATCATAGTTTATATTATTACGCATTAAATAAAAAGATATATAATAACACCGTCTACTAGTCACAAAGTCTCTTAAGTATTATAAACAATATAGTAATATATTTAATTATGAGCTGTGTTAGGTAGTTAATGAAATAAGACTATAGATTTGTTAAAAACAATAATATAAATATAATATTAAACTATTTGTTGAAACCTACACCACTAGTAGTTTTAATTAATTTGCCGCTATTATTATGTTGGAGTTATCCAGACTTTACTCATAAGTAATATCATAATGGCATCTAATTTTTCCGAAAAAACTCGAAAAAACACGTTGCTATGTAATATTTTAACAAGAAGCATGAGTGCTGGTGGCAACAAAAATCCGAGTCGAAGAGGAGGATTTTTGCACCTGCACGAATGCATTTTGTTAAAAAATATTACTTAGCATTGTGTTTTTTTTATTTTTTTCACAGGAAAAATTAGATGCCCAAATGGTATTTGACAAGATACATAAGTAACAGTTATTCTGCATACACATAGCTTACAAAACATACTACCTATTATACATGCATATGTACATAATAAATATGTAGGTATTAATTTGAAAACTGAAAAATAGGTAATTTATTTAATCACTAAATACTAAAAACTTAATTATTTATGGTACAATTAAAATATAAATTGCAATTTTTGGTGACAACAGCTGTCAAGTTTTGCCGCGGGCACGGTCTTATATACAGGTCTTGCAACTTTAAGCTTCGAGGTGGCTTCCTTAACGTGCCAAGCCGCTAGGTGGCGCTAAGATCGAAGGGGTAAAGTCAATTAAACTACTACTTAGTTAAATGTGGAACTACTGCATAACCATAACCTAACTTTTTAAATTCTTTTTCTATGTTTTGTTTACATTTTCAAAAATTTAATATTTGTGAGTTTGTTTCGGATAATTTACGTTAACAAAATAGGACAACAAAGTCTATACTCTATGTCCTCGGCCGTCACATGCCCAGACTAAACATGTAAGTAAAACATGTTAATGTATAAAATACATACGTATATCATATATATGTTACGGCTAATGTGTAAACATGGATAGTTTATAAAGTAGCTGGGTAGTTTATAAACTAGCCAAACTGTCAGCTATTTTAATTGAAAACGTATTTTTAACTAAATTAGCGGCTAGTTTGTAAACCAACCAAGGGTCTTGGCTAATTTACTTGAAATTATTTAGGAATAGCTGGATAATTTGTAAACTATCCAATTCAATTTGGCTAATATGAAAACCAAAATTTCTAGTAACACAACAAACTAACCAACCAATATTCTGGCTAGTTTATTAATAACCGATTTTTTTATTGTCTTGGCGGGGATGGGTTGATTGTTTATTTAAAATAATATATATTTCACCAACACGATGTGCTTAATTATATAATAATCATACAAAATGTGAAGGTGTCAATAATATGTTTTTTATTGCACATTGCCATGTTTTTAACCGCTCCTTATTTGTTGGCACTTTAAACATGGACCGCTTAATTTTAATGCCGGAACGATAGCTTTGCTGGTTACATTTTGGCATAACACAGGACTTCATGTCTATTAAAAAGTACAAATACAAATGTATAACAAGAACAAAAATAACAAGAACAAATATAACAATAACGAATATCACAATAACAATAAGTAAAAACTCCCTGTAACAAAATACACAAGCTTGTTTATAAAAATGTAGGTTATGTTTCTTCACAGAACATAAGTAGGTAGTTCATTTGACCTGTTATCCCATAGACTTTAAGGACTTAGAGCCGGTTTTACAATCGTTAGATTAAGTTAGCTTATTTGGCGGATAACTTTCATAGAAACCTTCTATCTAAGAAAATTATCCACCAGAGAGCTTATCTAACGATTGTAAAACCCAAAGATAAAGAAGGTAAAAACGACCTTTAAACATCTATGGTTTATCCATCCAACTCGATGCGCCATCTGGTGGGTGTCTCATTAGAGAGGTCACTTTTCCTATTGAAATTGGGCGAAGTTGCAAGACCTGTATATAAGACCGTGGCCGCGGGTAAACTCGAAAAAACTGCTGACAGTTGCTGTCATACAGTTTTTCCACCTAGAAACCATTTGTAATTGAAAATTGCGCGTTTGTGATTGGTGGAAATTAAGACGAGGGAAATAGTCCTCATAAAATCATTAAAACATTGACTCACCATCCTCTTCGGGATCTTCCACGGGGACTTCGTTCTGTAGTTCGTTGTAATCCGCCTTGTCGTCCTTCAATCTGACTCCCAAACTGTCGATGTGATTTTTATCGAAGTTGGCTTTTTGGGCTTGTTGGATCGCCTCGTTTTCGTTGAAACCGAGACCGACGTCGTTTGCTTCGGCGGACTTCAAGGGTTTGTTGTTGCGTTGGATCGGAATATCGACTTGTTCTTGAGCACCATTTTCCTTCTCGGCATCGTCGACTTTGCCGGGATCGTCTACAATTCTAAAACAACACGTATTATTGCAAATAACCATTTGGTAACCTCAATAACTAAAGGCTTATTGCCATAGAGCAAGATTTAACTATGCCTATCGCCAAATGCTTTCATAAAAATGATGGTTCGATTTACTAACATTGAGTACGCCCACCTATATTACCTAATTTTGGGCTGCTGATTTCAAAAATGCCACTCGTTTTGCTCCAGGACGTCTAGGATTCGAAATAATTGCGTAATAAAATGCTCTGCCCAGTTATCACAAAAGTTTTTTGTTAATATTTTGATTACTTATTAAATTATCTTGCCTTAAATCTATATAGGATGTTTAGTATATTTTTGACGTTTTTTGTCAAAAATATACAGGGACTCCATACATCGGTAGATAAATGTCAAATCGAAATTTTGTTGGTTTCATTGTAGCCCTATACTATAGTAGTATTAAATACCAAAACTAAAATTATAATGTTTTTTTGGTAAAAAGTATCATTTTTTGAAATTTTTATGTCGTTTTTTTTAATTACTAATTAAATTGAAAAGGCAACAAAGTAAATGGGTTTTGGTATAAGCATTGCTCTTCTGACTATTATTTGATATGTTTTTATTCACATCCTGCCTAAAGTACCCTAAAATTTAATCTCAAATCTTATTTATTAAGTCAAAATTTAATATCGAATTGAAGTATAAAGGCGCCTAAAGTGCTTCTATTAATTATTGACATTTAAAATTTAAACTTTAAATTGTATTTTTACTTGAAAGTGATTTTAAGAACCAAAAATGAAAAAAGAGCAGGAAATGGAAGTGGTAATGGAAGTGGCAGAGAAAGAGAAACGAGACGAACATTTATGTCGTCGTTGTAAATTTGTTTTGTTTTGTTGCGGTACCTTTACGCCCAAAAAAAAACCAACGCAATATTTCATTACAAAATTTTATGAGATATACCTACTACTTTAATTTTGCAGGAATATTAAATGGAGCTGATATACGACGTTTAATGAAAGATCAAGCATTCAAAAATGCTCTCAAAGTTGACGAGCTTGTCGCATATGGCAGTGTTAAAGCTGTCATTGAAAATGTTCTTGGTCCATATCGGGACTAAAATTGGGGCCAATTCATTGAAAAAATGTTTTCCATTTTGCAAAGAATTATCGTTAATATGTCATTTAAAATACATTTTCTTTTTTTTTTTCATTCTGATAAATTTGCCGAACTGATGAACATGGAGAACGAATTCACCAAGTAAATGTAAATTTAGAGCATTGGTAGATAGATATCTATTGGTATAGCGGAAAGAAGTTGGATTCATTGCTAGGAGACATTTTCTGGAACTTGCAGCAAAAGATGTACGACGATGATGAGGATTAAGCACAATAATACTATAATCCAATTTGATATTTAATACGCTTTAATAAATTTAAGGAAGAAAAAGCAAAATTATGCAATGCATTAAATTTTGGAGGGCTTAATTTGGATAAAAAATACTGAAACCTGTTTACTTTGTTGCCCTTTCAATTTAATAATTAAAATAAACGACAAAAAATGTTAAATAATGGTTGTTTTTTACATATTGTTAAGATAAATATGATCTATTTGCCGTATACCAATTACTTTAGTACATTCAAGGTAAATTTAAACCAAAATAATTAAATAAATAATTAAAATACCAACAAAAAACTTACATTTTGAGGTGATTGAGCAGAGCATTTTATTAAGAAATTATTTTAAATTCCAGACGTTCTAGAGAAAAACTAATGACATTTTTAAAATCACCGCCCCAAAATTAGTTAAACTAAGCTGGAGTACTTAATGTTAGAAAAAACTACCATAGTGTAATTATTAAATTCGAGTTTGGATTATGCTGAACGAGTTAGTCTCCACGTCTAACTCGCAGCAAAGCAGCAACAACAGCCCAGTAGATAAGACCTGAAGATGGTACATGATTTTATATAGGTGCTTTCCAATTGACCGTTTTGATAACAGCCGCTACTTCGCTAGTCTAGCGAAAAGTCATTTTTATATTTTATGCGTTCAACTTAAGTAACACAAGTTTTAATTTGGTCATTATAAATAACAACAAATTAACAATTTATATTGTTACTTATTTACTTTTCATATTGATTTTAGATTTTAATGATAACACTAATAACGTAATAAAATGCTCTGCCCAATTATCTTAAAATGTAAGTTTTCCTTAATATTTTGATTATTTATTAAATTATTTTGCCTTAAATCTATTTTGGATGTTCAGTATATTTTTGACGTTTTTTGTAAAAATATACAGGGACTCCATACAAAGTCATCGGTAGATAAATGTCAAATAGAAATTTTCTTTGTTCCATTGTGGCCGTAGTATTTTATAAGGGATATTTAATAAAGAACTTTTCTGCAGAGAAGTGCTTTATTAAATACCAAAACTAAAATTATAATGTTTTTTTGGTAAAAAGTATCATTTTTTGACATTTTTGTGTCATTTTTTTAATTACTAATTAAATTGAAAAGGCAACAAAGTAAATGGGTTTGGGTATAAGCATTACTCTTCGACTATTGTTTGATATGTTCTTATTCACATCATGCCTAAAGTACCCAAAAATTTAATCTCGAATCTTATTTATTAAGTCTTATCAAAATTTAATATCGAATTGAAGTATAAAGGCGCCTTATCTACTTTATCTTTCAAACACACTAAAGTGCATCTATTAATTATTGACATTTAAAATTTAAACTTTAAATTGTATTTTTACTTGAAAGTGATTTTAAGAACCAAAAATGAAAAAATAGCAGGTAATGGAAGTGGCAGAGAAAGAGAAGGAGACGAACATTTATGTCGTCGTTGTTTTTGTTGCGATACCTTTACATCCAAGAAAAATCAACGCAATATTTCATTAAAAAATTTTATGAGATATACCTCCTACTTTAATTTTGCAGGAATATTAAATGGACCTGATATACGACGTTTAATGAAAGATCAAGCATTTAAAAATGTTCTCAAAGTTGACGAGCTTGTCGCATATGGCAGCGTTAAAGCTGTCATTGAAAATGTTCTTGGTTCATATCGGGTCTAAAATTGGCGCCAATTCATTGAAAAATTGGTAGATATCTATGGGTATAGCGGAAAGAAGTTGGATTAATTGCTAGGAGACATTTGCTGGAATTTGCAGCTAAAGATGTACGACGATGATGAGGATTAAGCACAATAATACTATAATCCAATTTGATATTTATAATAATAATAATAATAAAATACTTTATTTTCATCCCAAGAAACATACAGTTTATAGAGGGACACCTCTAATCATACAATTTAATATATATTTTTTAATTCTTAATAAACTGCTCGTCATAAAAATCGACGCACCTAGTTTTTTGGAAAATATTTGAAAGCTCGTTATTGGAAAATTACTGAATCGATTTTGAAAATCTTTGGAAATTCGGAATAGTTAATTCTTTGACTCTTATGTCTAATTTTGGGAATACGATATTTTGCACATAGCATTATACTACAGGATGTTAATCGAAGAGATGTATTTTTTCCGAAATTTCAAGTTATTCCCATTCATGAGGCAGTTGAGTTTGATAGTCGTAATACCCCTCCCTTATATAAGTAGATTTTGTGAATATCGCGGCTTACTACGATTATATGCCAATTTTTCGAAAATTGTCGTTTTTTCCAGTTTAGTCTAAAAAATGAGCAATAGTGGATTCTTTGACTTACGTCTAATTTTGAGAATACGATATTGTGCACATATCATTATACTACAGGGTGTTAAAAAAAGAGATGTTTTTTCCAAAATTCCAAATCCCCATTCACAGGGCAGTTGAGCTTGATAGTCCTAATACTCCTCCCTAATAACAGCTAGGTAATCTCGGGACATTTTCGAGATTTTGTGGATATCTTGGCTAACTACGATTACATGCCAATTTTTCGAAAATTGTTGTTGTTCCCCAGTTGTCCAAAAAATGAGCAATAGTGGATTCTTTGACTTATGTCTAATTTTGGGAATACGATATTGTGCACATGCCAATTTTTCGAAAATTGTTGTTGTTCCCCAGTTGTCCAAAAAATGAGCAATAGTGGATTCTTTGACTTATATCTAATTTTGGGAATACGATATTGTGCACATAGCATTATACTATAGGGTGTTAAAAAAGAGATGTTTTTTCAAAAATTCCAAATCACCATTCACAGGGCAGTTGAGCTTAATAGTCATAATACCTAATAATTCCCAATAACAGGTAATCCCTCTTGGAAATTAAGTGGAGAATAACGACAATTTTCGAAAAATTGCTATATAATCGTAGTTAGCCAAGATATCCACAAAATCTCAAAAAACGTCCCGAGGACTAACCTGTTATTAGAAAGCGGTATTACGACTATCAGGCTCAACTGCCCTGTGAATGGGGATTTGGAATTTTGGAAAAAAACATCTTTTTTAAACACCCTGTATATCATGCTATGTGCACAATATCGTATTTCCAAAATTAGACATAAGAGTCAAAGAATCAACTATTGCTTATTTTTTGGACTAAAATGAAGAATAACGTAAATTTTCGAAAAATTGCCATATAATCGTAGTTAGCCAAGATATCCACAAAATCTAGAAAACGTCCTGAGGACTAACCTAACTGTTATTAGAAAGCGGTATTACGACTATCAAGCTCAACTGCCCTGTAAATGGGGATTTGAACTTTTGAAGAAAAAAACATCCCTTTTTTTAACACCCTGTAGTATAATGCTATGTGCACAATATCGTATTCTCAAAATTAGACGTACCTAAGTCAAAGAATCCACTTTTGCTCATTTTTTGGACTAAACTGGGAAATAACGACAATTTTCGAAAAATTGGCATATAATCGTAGTAAGCCGCGATATTCACAAAATCTCGAAAACGTTCCGAGGGTTTACCTTACTTATATTAGGGAGGGGTATTACGACTATCAAACTCAACTGCCTCATGAATGGGAATAACTTGAAATTTCGGAAAAAATACATCTCTTCGTTTAACATCCTGTAGTATAATGCTATGTGCAAAATATCGTATTCCCAAAATTAGACATAAGAGTCAAAGAATCAACTATTCAGAATTTCCAAAGATTTTCAAAATCGATTCAGTAATTTTCCAATAACGAGCTTTCAAATATTTTCCAAAAAACTAGGTGCGTCGATTTTTATGACGAGCAGTTTACATTTTTTAAATCTAAATTAATTTTACTTTATTAATACATTTTAATTCTAAATAGGAACATATTATTTAAATATAATATCACAGAAAAAAGAAAAAATATTACGATATATCATTGTTTATTCAATAAAATTCGCCACACAAGACGACATATGCTTTTTAAATTTAAATCCTTTAAGTTCTTTTATATTGTTTGGTAATTTGTTATAAACAGATGCTCCCTTAAACAGTATAGAGTTTTTACCGAATTCTGAAAATACTCGAGGTAAATCCACATTTTCACTGATTCTGGTTGCATAATTATGCACATCTCTTCTATGAGAGAATTCAATACATGAGTGGCGTGATCCGTTTAAAACTTGATTTATAAAAATATTTACTTGATATGCATATATACTTTTTAATGACCTAATATTGCAATCCTTATAAAGATCAGCTGGTGGATAGCGACTTTTAAGAGAGTAAATATTTTTAATTGCTTTGTTTTGCAATACTTTTAAGCGTTTTAAATTTTTATCATAAGTACAAGTCCATACAATATTTAAATATTATAAGTGACTATGAATCAGTGAAAAGTAGATTGACCTCAAATACTTTTTAGGAACAGCGTATAACCTCCCTAGCATACCAATCGGACCGGCAATCTTTTTGGAAACATAAGCTATGTGTTCCTTCCAAGAGAGCCTGTCATCGATTACCAAGCCCAGAAACTTTACACTGTCCACCTGCCTCAAAGGAAAATCATCATTTTGATAAATATCATTGTTTCTGTTATTTTTTTTAATAAAAATAAAAGGAGACTTATCAATGGTGAGTGAAAGTTTATGAGAGTCCAACCACCCCTTTACTAATTCCAGATCAGAAGCCATGAACGCATTTATTTTTTCAATACAATGATCAAAATAGACAATAGTTGCATCATCGGCATATAGTATTAATTTACCTTTTAACTTTAAATTTGACAACGAATTGATATAAATTAAGAAAAGAGTGGGGCCAAGAATTGACCCTTGAGGTACTCCACACTCAATTTTTAGATTTGAACTTTTTTCTGATTTAATTAAAACATACTGCATCCTATCTCTAAGGTAGTCCTTAAACCACTCGAGACAGTTACCTGTAATACCGATCAGTTCTAGCTTCTGAAATAAAATATCAAATCTTACCGTGTCAAATGCCTTTCGCTGATCAAGTGACACCACTGCACATTTTAAACCTTGGTCTAAGTTGCTTTGTATGTCAGTAATTAAATATATAGCAGCAGATGCAGTACTGACACGTGTCACTTGATCCGCGAAACCCATACTGGCACGAAGATAAAAAGTGAATAGACTCCAAATAATTCTTTAGCTTGTTATTAACAATGCGTTCCAAAATTTTAGCAAAAACACATATTATAGATATAGGTATGTAATTGTTAGCAGATTCTTTATCGCCAGATTTAAAAAGTGGAGACACACGAGCAATTTCTTTTGGAACTCTACCCTCACTCAACGATTGATTTACCAATTTACACAAAATACACCTTAATTCTAGTTTACACATCTTAACTGTCTTTGCGTCTATTTCGTCGTGGCCAGCTGCCTTAGAACTGTCAAGTTCTCCTCTGGTGTTGTTCTATTAAATTCAAATTTATTTTGAGATTTTGACTCTATGTGGAGTTGAAGTGGTTCATCTGGAGTATTGGCAGCTATATTTTTACCAACCTCAACAAAAAATTTGTTTAGATCGTCACATATTTGTTTTTTGTCTGTTGTCACCATGTTTCCAGTTTTTAGGGCGGGTATGGTAGTAGATGATACGATTTAATAAATTTAAGGAAGAAAAAGCAAAATTATGCAATGCATTAAATTTTGAGGGCTTAATTTGGATAAAAAATACTGAAACTTGTTTACTTTGTTGCCCTTTCAATTTAATAACTAATATAAACGACAAGCAATGTCAAATAATGGTTGTTTTTTTTACATAAAATACATTAAAATTTTAGTTTTGGTATTTAAAATGCCATATTGTTGATAAGTAATTGAAGATAAATTTAAGCCAAAATAATTTAATAAGTAATTAAAATACCAACAAAAAACTTAAATTTTGAGGTGATTGAGCATAGCATTTTATTACGAAATTATTTTAAATCCTAGAGAAAAACTAAGCTGGAGTACTTAATGTTAGGAAAAAAAGTTTGTAAAACTATCATAGTGTAATTTAAATCGTAATAAAGTAGTCATTTGTTCATTAAAATACAACGTTTTGTTTTGACTACATTGGCACCACTGAATTTGCCGTCGCGGCCTACTTTTTTTGTATTTCTCAGTCTTTAAATAGAGATAATGGATCCAATTTTTAACATCACCAAACAGTTTTTTTTTCTTAAAAATCGTAAAACATATTTTGGTTTCGAAACATTTGTCTTAAAATTGTTACACATTGTAATCTGCAAAATTTACCTGTATCTATTGTTGGTAGGGTCATTAGAATCAGCATTAGCGTTTGGTATAGGAGCCACACCATCAGGCAGTTTTCTTCTTTGCATTTCATCCAAGTCCTTGGGAATGCCAAATAAAATGTGTTCCTTCATAGACTTTGGCGTCACTGTTGGAACACCAATTGGTCGGGCATTATTAAGGCTTCCCGATGAGATCTGAACTCCAGATTTGGTAGTAGATTTACTTGGCAACAAATTACCAGCATTTGGTTGTGACAAAAGGTTCTTATTTGGTGGCGATACCACTGAACTAGAAATTTTAAACTCTGCTGGAGATTCCTTATTTTTTAAGATATCTAATTCATTTGTTATGTCTCTATTAATTTTTTTCAAGTGATTTATTTCATTTTCACTTTCTTTTTCATTAAATTTATCATTGTCATATTTTTTCTGTAAATTTTCTTTATCTAACTGAGCTTGAAGTATGTTGGCCTAAAAAAATATTATTTAAAAAAATATATATATTTTCGATTGTAAAAAGGTAGGTATGGAAACTAAAAAAATAAATTAATTATGTTAAAATGCTCATTTTAACTTTTTTAAATTTATTTTCAGGGCTTATAATGTAATTTTTTAAGTAAAAAAACTTACATTTAATGCTATTTAGTAGTGCTGTACAATTTAGCCGGTTAAGCCGGCCAAAAAAAAAAAGCTAAGTTAATTAGCTAGCTAACTGATCAGCTTAGCTAATTTAACCGGTTAACTAAATTAGCTTAGCTAATTAGCTGGCGGCTTAACCGGTTAATTTTGGCTCAGCTAATTAGCTAAAGGTTAATTTTTTTAAGCTAGCTTATATAGCTATATAATGATTTCTTATTCGCGGACAGGTTAAAAAAATAATAATATTGATGTTGCTTTTATGACAAACAATAATAATAGAGTAATTTATTAGGATAAATAATATTTTACATTTTATTTAAAAAATGGCTTTTAAATTAATTGTTAAATTTTTTTTCAGTTATATCTCTATTTTGGTAAAGGAAAATTAATAAATTTGCATTTTCGGGAAGTAAGCAGTTCCGTTTAGAGCTTATAATATTTCCGGCTGAGGTGCCAGATGACAGGTGACAGATGTCAAGTTGACAAATGACAAATAGCTGATGACAAATGACATGTGACAGATAAAAGGTGACAGATGTGACAGATGAAAATTGACATGACACAACACAGCTGACAGATGAAAGGTGACAGGTGACAGACGAAATGTGACATAGTACAATTGACAGATGACAGATTACAGGTGTCATTTGCCACCTGTCATCTGTCATCTGTCACATTTCGTCTGTCACCTGTCATTTGTCATCAGCTATTTGTCATCTGTCAACTGTCATCTAGCACCTCAGCCGGAAATATTATAAGCTCTAAACGGAACTGCTTACTTCCCGAAAATGCAAATTTATTAATTTCCCTTTACAAAAATAGAGATATACCTGAAAAAAATTTTAACAATTAATTTAAAAGCCATTTTTTATAAATAAAATGTAAAATATTATTTATCCCAATAAATTACTCTATTATTGTTTGTCATAAAAGCAACATCAATATTATTATTTTTTTAACCTGTCCGCGAATAAGAAATCATTATATTGCTTAAAAAAATTAGCCGTTTAGCCGTTAGCTAATTAGCTGAGCTAAGCTAAATTAACCGGTTAAGCCTCCAGTTAATTAGCCAAGCTAATTTAGTTAACTGGTTAAATTACTTAAGCTGATCAGTTAGCTAGCTAATTAACTTAGCTAACTTTTTTTGGCCGGCTTAACCGGCTAAATTGTACAGGGTGATCCCCTATAATGTCGCCCCCCTTTAACTAAAAATTACTTTTTTTCTACGTTTAAAGAAAATTGGAAAATTGATCAATATACAGGGAAAAACAAAAAGTTTATTTTTTTTCAATGGATCACCCTATATATATATGTATTTATTTTTCGATTCCTTGTAAAATTCTAAGCATATTTCATATAACATACCATATACCTAAACTCAACCGTTTCTGAAATATTTAAATTATTTTTAAGATAATAAGTTCAAATAGTTTGTCTTTTTCTTTCTGTACTTGATTCGTTTTAAAAAAACTTGTACTTAACACTTAAGTACTTTTTCTTGGTACTTAAAACAGCTCTGATCAATATTGGACTTTTCATGTACCAATCTACTTAAAACAATCATAATCTCGAAAATCATTTTTGGACCCGAAAGGTTCGTTTTTTTTTGGAGCGCCTCACATATTACGTAGGGGCCAAAAATATAAAATATAAATAATTGTTAAGTCAATTTTTTTTAATTTAATAAAAAGTCCTAATACTTTTGGTCATTACTTTACAGAGTTGTGAGGAAACTAAAAGCTTATGCCTTTTTTAACTTAAGTTATTTTAATGAGTTAAATCGTGTAATTTAAGTCACTTCTTGAGGTTCATGATTTAAATATTTTTTAAAAGGATTTGTATTAAGTAGGCTTTTTATATAATAAGTATTTTTAAAATAAAATACATAAATCCTTTTAAACAACTGGGTTGTCATAACTTTGATGACAGAAAAAATCAGAAGGAATGTTTATATGTACAGGGTGTCCCAAATTGGTTGTCCGTATAGGGTCATATCTCTAAACCTAAAAGAGCTAAAAAAATCTGTCTACACTAACGAATTCTGTGATAAAAAGTGCCTACATAATGTCTTAAACCTGTATTCGTAACTCAAATATTAACGAAGCTACAAGCATTTGTCAAAATTGGCAAAAATTGAAAAAATAGGTGTATCTCCTAAACAAATGCGAATCGAGAAAATTCAAAGACATCATCCGATGTATCTTTAAAAAAGACGACGGGGATGCGTGGTCGAATTTTTTCTAGCATTTATATTTACTGAGATAGCCTATACAGACAACCAATTTGGGACACCCTGTATATTAGACTGGGCCAAAAAAATCGACTATTTTTTTCTGTAAAGTGTATCGAAAATATTGTTTGGGGTGACAAAAAAAAATATTGTGAAAGTTTGAGTCCATAATATTAATATTAGGTTTTTTTCCTGAGCGAGTTTTTGTCTCAGAACTCCCAAACCATTAAGTTTAACAAAATTGACTTGGGAATATTTTTTGAATAAAATTGAATGTTCTACAAAAAAGGTCTGATTGAAATTTCCCGTCAGATGAACCGTTTCCTTACAATCATGCCTTAAAAATTGGTATAGTTTTACAATGTGATCTTTTAACTTTGGAATTTTGTAATTCATGTAAAAATCAGTACCCGGAAAAAAAAACCCATAAATATTCTTATGGGAAATCAAATGCTCTACCAAAAAAGTCTCTTAACATTTTTGGCTAAATTCACTCCATCTACATTGTAGAAGCCTTTTTCAGACACCCTATATAAGACTGTGGTTCAAGCAAATTTTGAGATATATAGGGTGTCCCACAATTAGTGCGACAAAATGAAGGTGTATTATCTACAGACCCCCAGGAAATCCAGAAAATTGTTTAAAAAAATTTTCTTTTATTATTTAAAAAGATACAGGGGAGTCATGTTTTCTTTGTATGGCAACATTGCCTCATAACAAAGTAATAGTTTAATTTTTAATCATCATGACAACAAACAACAATATTAACATGATGATTAAGAATTAAACTATCCCCTTTTTGAGGCAATGTTGTCATATAAAGAAAATATGACTCCCCTGTAACTAAATAAGCCGAATGTGATTAAATGTGCATATTTTAAGGAAACTTTCCCAGTAAACAATATATTAAAAAATTATTAAATTTCACCTAGTAGTTCAAAAGGAACTATATCATAAGGCGTTTTCTCGCACCAGTCTTCGTGCGAGAAAATGGCTTATGACATTTGTTATTTAATATACTATTCCACTAAAAAAATTTAACCAAAAAGTTTTAAAAAATATTGTCAAAATGTCTATATTTTACACCCCATAGGTATCTCCTAAATAAAGCAGTTGCAGACCTAAGTTGATATTTTTTCCTTAAAACCATTTAAGGATTGAGCCCATCACCATTCAATTAAGAAACACTATGTATGATTTTAAAGCAATATATTATACAGTAATAGATAAAGCAACCAACCAACCAAGCATACAAACTAATAAAATTAAGTATATTTTTACCTTTAGATGTTCTACATTCTTATTTATAGTATTTATAGTTTCTTCTAATTCTTTAATCTTTTTCACATCTGTTTGTTTAAGGTCATCATAATTAGTCTAAAAAAAATAAAATAAAACTAAATCATTAATCAATAACATATATCTAATAATCAGGGCTATGACTAACTTGACTAAAATGCTTAAAAGCCACTGTTGTTAACTTCAGCCCGTGACTAAAACGATATAGATATAGATAATAGTATATTATGTATCAGGTTTGATAAACACCATTTTAGACACAAATTTAATTAAGGCTTAAATTAATGAGTGTCTAGAAAAGTTTATAAAAAAGTTGCATACTATACTTTTTTACGATAAATACTTTTTCTTAAAATGATGTAAATCAAATATTTGTATAGAGAGCCATCTATAAAACAATAGGGGAATCTGTGATACCATCAAATGTCAAATTTGTATGTGTTATAAAGGTAATAAATTGAAATGTATCGTGCTAGTAAGATATTTCAGGATGTTTTTGATAAAAAATGTATTGGTTATTTTATCTAGGTGGGTATTATAATGTGTATTATTATTTTAACTATTAAATACCAAGGTGCCAGGGGCCCTTTGAATGGGGGCCTTGGGGCAATAGACCCCAAAGTCCCCCCTTAATCCAGGGCTGATCAAAAATTTAAACCTAATTCAATTAAGTAGGTACCTATGTAAATATAGATTTTTTTAAATTTTAATAAATGTATCTAATATTTTCTTACTTGTAAAAGGTTAAAATGCTGTTGTGATGATTCATATTTTTGCTTTAATTCATTAATTTGTTCTTCATATTTCACTTTTTCATCTTCAATTTTCTGTTCCAATTGAATTCTCTTTTGCTGATTCTCAGCATTTTGTATCTTTAAGGATTTTTCAAGCCTTTGTTTGTAATCACTTATAACTAAAATAATTTATAAATTCGAATACAGTTATACAAATTATTTAAATGCATTAAAAAAATACCTTGCAGTTGTGTTGACAAATTTTCTTCTTGCTGATGACAGATAGCACTGGATTCCTTCAACTCCACAAGTTGAATTAAAATGTTGTGTGCACCAGTCAGTATTCCTGCCAATATAAACACTATACAAAAGATGAAAATTACTTTTATTTTAGTGCCACGTATCGCTCGAGGAGTCGACATCTCTTTGTAAACAACCAATATTTGCTTACATTCGATACGTTGACAACTTCTATAACCCTTTCTAATCTGTCATAAAACAAATAATCTGTGTACAAACATTATCGGTTTCTACATTACCGACATAAAAATAAACACGTTTTTAAATGCAAAAAAGGACGACACAAATCTTAAAGAATTATAAGTTTAGTTTTATGGTAAATATTTTTAAAACGGATTTTATTAAAGATATTAATTAATTTAATTGAAATTATTTAATAATTTAATAACGTTTAGCATTAAGTCTGATTTATAGATTGCCTTCATTCCTTCCTTCCTTCCTTCCGTAAAAGATAAACAATTCGAAAATCGTAGTGCCATTTAATCTTCAATTATAGATTTCCTTCCTTCCTCCAGTAGAAGATAAACAATACGAAAATCGTAGTGCAGTATAGAATCTCGTACGGGATTGTATTGTTTATCTTCTACGGGAGGAAGGAAGAAATGCAATCTATAAATAAGGCTTTATCCCGTACGGGAATCTATAAACAGCACAACCGTTTTTGTATTGTTCATCTTTTTCGTGAGGAAGGAAGGAAGGAAGGCAATCTATAAATCAGACTTTACCATAAAAGATATAAATTACCGGTAAGGCAGTTATCATTAAACATTGACAAATGTTGACAGAAGTTCTGTCAAAAAAGGTAAAAATGGCTAGTGTAGGGTTTAGGTGGTTGGATATTTTAGAAAAAGAGTTTGATAAAGCTTTCGTGGATTTAGACTTGGCCATAGGTATGAAACGTTTTGATAATAACTCCATTTAAAAGGTCTTTTAAGTTATACGCCTTGCCAAGGTATAACATTGTTTATGTTTGAATATTGTTTTTATGACATAAATAAGTAATAATAGTGCTCAATATTAAATAAGTTTTTTAGTCGATGTAATATTAACTATATGTTTTCTGTTTATTTAGGAGAGTTGGAATCTGAGGAACCTGATGTTGTTTTTAATGTTAGACAGAAATTGTGCACACTTAGTTCATGTTTTGCACAATTGACACACAAATCACAAACAATATTTCAAAATAGTGCTAAAGTTGAGGTAAGTTGAACCTAATCTTAATTAAAAAATCATTAGGTAAATAGTGTTTTTATTTGTATTTGGATAAAGTGATATGGGTAATTCCATACCAATTTGCCCAATTATTTTGCCTGTTACTGCAAACCCTGGCATTCCTACATTAAAAAACTTTGTAATCTATAAAAATATAAGGTGTGTATAGGTATTCGTTGACAATGCGGGATACCATGGCATTATTTATTTTTACAGTTTTAAACCTGGTACTGCAAAACTATTTTAATTTTATATTTTTAGTACTTTTTAATGATCCATTAACCATGCTTTTTTATTCTTACAAATTTTGACTTTTATTTATGAGTCATTTCAAATAAAAACACCAAATGGGGTGCGCTGCGTGATTTTTTATTTTGATGAAAAAATTTGAGGATGATCTTTTAGGTGTCAAATATGAAAATCCGTTGCCGTTTTAATTTTTTGTTGCTTTACTTTTATTTGGCACCCCTTAGAAGTCTGAAATAGTGTCAATTTCTTACTCTCTTATAGTGGGCCAGAACTTTTTTTCTGTGACAAATATTGAAATAATTTTAATTTTGTTATACTGTCCAGTAAGTGTGTTTTCGATATAAATTATTTTTATACAACTAGATAATCTCATAAAAGAATGGTAAACCACTAAAGATTCATGATAATTTGCCAATTTTTGTGATTTTTGTCTGGCTCCTGTGCCTATTCTACTGAATTTAGAAGGTTCATTTTTTTCAGGTATAAAGTACTTATACAATATAAAACGTAACTATTATTTTAAGTTTCTAGACTATCAATTTCTTTATTAAAAAAATTATTGAAAATTGATCATTCTCAAAATTAGCCAATTTTGCCCTCAGAAATCATTATGTTGAGGAAAAAATAAAAATCTGAAACTTTCAGGAAATGTAGTCCCCACCTTCATCTTTTCAGTCCAGTTAGTCTTGTTTTGTTATTTTTATTCCTTTAAAAGATATATTAATTTTTTTAATGGCCGTTTAGTAGCGATATTGTTAGTTTTATTTATAATTTAAAATTTAGATGGCTTTCATGTTTGGTGGAGAAGTGTCAGAACTGTCAAAAATATTTCATAAATATTATTTGTGCGTATTTCTTTGGTAAAATCACCAAAGGAATACCACAAATAATAATTATGAAATATTTTTTAGAGTTCTGATATTTTTGGTAGTTATGTTATATTTTATGTATTGAAAAATCATATATATATATATATATATATATGTATATGATTATAATATAATCATATACACATATATATATATATATATGATTTTTCAATATATTATATTATATACATTATAATGAAGTATTTAATTGGCTAATTGGTGTTTAAAGATGAAGAATGTAAAAATATATTTAAGATCCTTATGGTTTATATCGTTGAGTATAATAAGTGAAATTAATAAAGAGTTAATTTAAACGTATAAAAAATGCGTTAAGCAGTTTTTTGTCGGTTTCTTTCACAATTTAAACCAAGTTAGTCTTGTTCTATTATTTTGATCCCTTTAGTAAGGCACTATAGTGCAAATATATAATATAATGTAAATAGTTAAAAGTTAAATCTATGTATTTTAAATTTTAGTGTTGGAAAAAATTTACACAATCTGTAAATACTTCTTTAAATTTTAGTTTTTAGGTAACTGATTAAAATAAAACATGTTATAATAAAGAATATTTGTTGGTTTTTGCTTATTTTTAACAATTTAAAACTTCTCAGAACTTAAATATTTTCTATAAGAAAGAGTTACAAAATTATGATATGTTCTTGCATTTTTAATTGCAATTAAATTCATGAATCTCGAACACTCCGTCATTTATTACACTTGCAAACTTTTTGAAATCAAAATTTAAATACACACAAATTAAATTTATGAAATATTTTTGACAGCTCTGACATTTCTCTACCAAACATGAATTGACAAAGTCAAAGCCATCTAAATTTTAAATTATAAATAAAACTAACAATATCGCTACTAAACGGGCATTAAAAAAATTAATATATCTTTTAAAGGAATAAAAATAACAAAACAAGACTAACTGGACTGAAAAGATGAAGGTGGGGACTACATTTCCTGAAAGTTTCAGATTTTTATTTTTTCCTCAACATAATGATTTCTGAGGGCAAAATTGGCTAATTTTGAGAATTATCAATTTTCAATAATTTTTTTAATAAAGAAATTGATAGTCTAGAAACTTTAAATAATAGTTACGTTTTCTATTGTATACGTACTTTATACCTGAAAAAAATGAACCTTCTAAATTCAGTAGAATAGGCACAGGAGCCAGACAAAAATCACAAAAATTGGCAAATTATCATGAATCTTTAGTGGTTTGCCATTCTTTTATGAGATTAACTAATTGGATAATAATAATTTATATCGAAAACACACTTACTGAACAGTAAAACAAAATTAAAATTATTTCAATATTTGTCACAGAAAAAAAGTTCTGGCCCACTATAAGAGAGTAAGAAATTGACACTATTTTAGACTTCTAAGGGGTGCCAAATAAAACTAAAGCAACAAAAAATTAAAACGGCAACGGATTTTCATATTTGACACCTAAAAGATCATCCTCAAATTTTTTCATTACAATAAAAAATCATGCAGCGCACTTTTAAATTCATTTTTGGTGTTTTCATTTGGATTGACTCTTATACAAAAATATTGTACCTAATATTATGGTAATATGGCAATAATATGGGCTTATGATTCAAGAGCAAGATTGCTCTGGACTCTTAAAGTCCAAAGGAAATTAATAGAATGAGAAATATTAGACCTTTAACGTTTTAAGCTTTTGAAAAAATAAACAAAATTTTTTTTTGGTTCTTCTGTAGCTTTGCTATTTACTAAATAAATATTTTTCAAGATTTTTGGGAATCAATTCTGCAAAAGGTTATTTGTATTTGTGTTCTCAAAATTTGATATTTTTATATGGAGAATCTTAAAATAAAAGGCTGTTTCTCAAAGATACTACAACCAACAAAATGCTATACGCTAAAGAAGTATCGCTAGTAGCGCCACCACTCGGCTGTTATCGTAACAAAAGTACAACTTTTGATAATCAGCTGTCAAACGCGTGTGTTACAAACGAGTGTTTTTGAGAATAATCCGGAAAATGTTATCGAAAAAAAAAAAACGTGGCACGATTTGTTGTGTTGTTGGGTGTATTTCGAGAGGAAATCCTGGGCTGAGTTTTTATCGGTTTTCCAATAAACAGTGTTAATCCGAATGAAGAAATAAATTTCATACAGTCCCTGTAAATATAAATTGTATATATTAGATACAATAAATACACATTTTAGTAATGATTAACGTGAAAAGTGTAAACATTTCAATTCAGTAATAATCGTCAAATAAATAAGTCATCTAAATTTAAACAGCATTTAGCATTATTAAAAGCTTTGATTAAGAATTCTTTAAAGTCTCCACTCAACGGTAAAATACCATTATATTATGTATTATATATAATATTATGTTCCATTCATTTCGTATGTATATTTTGTTGTTTAAAATGCAGTTGTCAGCGTTTTTTTGAGAACTCAATACAAAAATGGTTGATTTTAAGGTTATGTTTGTACAAAAACTATTTTTTACTAATTTCTTAAAAATGTCCAAACTTAAATAAAAATTATATTAGGTAAAGTTATCATTAGTTAATTCTGCACCAACAAATGTACTTACCGAATTGGATCCTTTGGCAAAACATGAAAATGCAATGATTTAGTTCTTGAATTTTATTTACAATTAAAAGCGCAATAATTCACCATGATCCCTTTGATAAAATACACACACTAACGTAACTATATAAGCATTTAAGCGTTGAGTTTCTTAATCAATGATATAAAGAATAATCAATGGAAATCGAGTACTAAACCAGTTTTTTAGTTTTTTCCTTGCAACGTAAAACACAAATAACGTGCGCGGTTTAGCTGTACAATTGAACAAAATTTGTCGAGTAAGACTTCTGCCTTCCTCTCTTTTGTGAAAAAAATACCTATTTTTTTAAAAATGATGTACAGTTCGTATGCTTTAAATGTATTGTTGACAATTCTTAAATTCACGCAATTCTTTTGAAGTCCACCAGATGGCGCGCGCGTTGCGAAAACCCGATACTTCTTTAGCGTATAACAAAAACATTTATACTTCAAGGAGAATGTTAAATTTCGAAAAAGCTAATCAAAATTGCATCACATTCTACTAATTTTGTGGCAGCTGATTGGATATTGTGAGTTTTGATTCGAATAGCGATATGTCGACTTGATTTTATATGAGATAATCTGAGTTTTTGTGAAATTGGACATTGCCATCAACTTTTACTTTTCAACTTTCAACTTTTACTACCTCTTACTCTTACTCATTGGAGAATGTGACTTGTATCAACTGATTTACATAAATATTTATATAAATAAATTTTTGATACCTAAAAAAAAATATTTTTGAATCAAATAAATTTATTTGATTCAAAACAATCTTTGTCTTATATAAAAAATATATTCTTTAAAATATTAAAGTATTTTCTTAATTCACGTTGATTTACTTCAAGAATCTTTTCTTAATATAAGAAAATTAAATTTCTTTAAATAAAACTTTGATCGTTTAAAAGCAAGAATATATAGTTTTTGAAATAAGGCAGCAATATTTACTTAATTCAAGAAAATGTATTTTCTTTAACCAAATAATTGGTTCTTTTAAAGCAAGAATATGTTCTTTTAAAAATAAATTAGTGGTATTCTTAAATAAAAAAGATACTTACTGAATATATACAAGATTTAAAATTTTATTTCATTGATAACAAAAAAATATATTTATTTTAAAATAATGCAAGAATAATCGTTAAAAATAAATTGTATCTATCTTAATTTTAAGCTACTTTTAGCAATGTTTAAATAAATCTATCATTTTGTATTTAAAATAATGATACGTAACTAAAAATTACTTCTTTTAATATAAAAACATCTTTATATTTAGGAATATTACTGCAAAAGTAATAAAATTTAAAATAAATATATGTACGTCTAAATACTTGAAGGGGACTGGAGTAATTTTAAATATCCTGTAATTTTTTAAGGATTGTTGTCTAATCTTAAACAAAACTTTATATTTAAATACTTACGGATTATTCAAAATTGAGCCAAACTTACTGAAGGGCCAAAGTATACGTTGTATCGTTTCTAGGTGGTGCAGTAAGCAAAAAAAATAGTTATTTATGTCATTAGGTTAAGAAGTAAGGCTTTTTGTGCTAAGCTCAAAGTTTGAAGGCCGACGCGTAGCGGAGGCCTACAATTGAGCGAAGCACAAAAAGACACTTCTTGGCCGAATGGCATACAACATTTTATCTTCAAAGCACTTTATATAGGTCAATTTAATTCAACATGAAAGCGGCCTAACCTAACTTTTTTAGAATTTATTTATTACCTAAAGATTACATTAAATGTACAATAATTATTATTCCTTTTAGAAGCAGTAATAGTTTGACAATACCTAGCTACATAATTTAAGTAGAAATGGATTTTTGTAAGAAAATGGTTTACTTACCCTCTTGCTATAGCAATGTGCTATAGCATGTAATATATTACATTGAATTCAATTAATTGTTTAATAAATAGGTATCTAATTTCAATTTGTTTGCATTTTTATTAAAAAATAGGTAGTTTAGAATGTTTACGCTGTGTTTAACATTTAATTTCACTGAAAACTTAAAGCAAATTAAAACTTAAAGATAATTTAAATCGTAGAAAAAGAAAACACAACTGTGAAATACACAGAAACGTCAAATTGCAATGTCCTAACCTCACTTTTTGTTTTATTATTCATATTTAATTTTACAATAATTTAATGAAAAATAATAAACATTAACAGTAAAACAAACAAATTAGTGCTTATTATAAATAAATTAAACCAGTTTAGTACGTTAATTTCTTAGAAAAGGATTAATTTTTCAAAACAATACCCCTAGCGAGAAAAAATCGAACTAATTACTTGCCTCATAAAAATTTTTATCGGCCTAGGCCATAACAAGTTATTTCTTTATCGAATGTTGACAATAATAAAGTTTAAATTATAGACCGCGTGGAGATAAATTAAATTAAATAGAAAACAAACGTTGAACAAACACATTTATTTTATTTTTAATACAAGAAAAATCTAAAATGTATAGGTACATTATTATAAATTAACGTAGGGAACTAAGTCTTAATCATTATTATCGACATATTTTGCATTTTATATAATTTGTAATATTTTAGGCATAGTAGAAAAGCAATTACCAATTTTATAAAATAATTTAGGGCTATTGCCAATGAACTCCACCCTATATGAATCAAAATTAATGTTATACCCCAAAGTGTGTAACAAAATTACTTCTAAAACAAAATCTTTTTAAATGTCATAAAATAAATTAAGTTTTTTAACTTAAAATTATAGAGGCATACAAATTAGAGTGAATGAAATAATTTTAAGGCATTCTTAATTCATATTATTAAATATTTAAACAATAAATCTACCTACCTACACGTAAATGCGACGCTAAATTTAAAAAAGGGTGGTATATCAATAACAACTTACTTACCTTCAATTTTTTTTTATAATTTCCTTCGATGCTGACCACTCTTCTAATAATTTTTTAATGAAATACCCCCTTCCTCACAAAGAAAAAGAACACTGCATGATTAGGCATAAAATTTTAGAGGAACGTGTCGGCATCTCCACTCCTACACGATTTCAAAAATATGTATTCTTGGCAAAAGAAAATAACTGTTTATTAAAACGAATAAAAAAATTTAAGAATATCTAAATCTCAATATAAAAAAATAAACAAATAAAAAAAATAAGAATATCTTATTCTTGATATAAAAAAAATATTAACAATTGTACCAAGAAACCAACTAAGATTTCCTTGAAGAATATTTAATATTTGGATTGAAACATGCAACTTTTAAAAAAAGAAATGTTTCTTAATATTAGAATATTTCCAAAACTACAAAATTCTTTTTTAAAGAAGTTAAATATTTTTAGTTGAAATATATATTCTTATTTTAAAGCAAGTTGACTTGAATTAAAAAAATATTTTCAAGATAATAGGTGTTCTAAATATAAGAAATCTTTTTTTTCAGTGTAGTCACGGAATTTTAAACGTCATAATTTGTATGTCCATGTTTAAATCAATTTGTGTATTCTTAAGTTACATTTTGCGGATTTACTATAGGTTAAAAAAAGATATTTTTGTTGCAATTTTTATTTATCTTAAAAAATTATTTTAACAAATAAGTTATTTAGGTGATGTATATTCATCTTCATCTTGTATGTCTTTTAAATCATCATATGTTGTAGTTCTCATGTCTTCGATTGTTGCATCCGTTGTTTCATCACAATCGGTACCTCTATTTCTTACATCAATTAATCCTAATATATTTATTCTACATTTTTTATTTGGTTCTGTTACAACTATTGAATCTGAATTATTAAAAGTTATGTTTGGTGCATTGTTGTCTTTTTTTATAAATACTCCAAAAATGTCCAATATTGACTTTTCTCTTTGTTCAATATCTTCATTACTTAATTTTAATGTAGTATTTTCAAGAATTAAATTTTCTGTTGTAGTATTTATATTTTCTTCATCCAATTGTTCAGTTTGGTTCTTTTTTAAATATGTATACAAAATTGTTGCCAAACTATCCTTAATTTCATGTAAATTTTTTTCATTTACTATTTTAAATGAGTTGTTAACTGATATTTCAATGTTGTTTAATGTTTTAATAATTTGTTGTATGTCTTCATTATAGTGTGTGCTGTTTTTAATGCTATTTAACATTTGTTTAATATCATTAAGGTCTGGTGAGAGGTCAGGAAAGCTTTCATATTGTATATAGTTCAATCTGGTTTTAATTAAGCCTAATTCAGCAAGTAAAACCTAAAACACAAAATAGTTTTTTTAGTTTTTAGATTATCCAACTTTATATTATACAAACAAATTGAATTTATTATACATATACTTATATATGTATTTTAAAGCCCTTTACTGGTTTAAAAAGATAAAATCAACTTTAAAAATTACTTATTTTAAATTATTTTTCTTTGCAAATAAACACTTTTTTTACCGTTTTAAAAAACATCTCTGTATATCAATTGATTTAAATCACGATTTAAATCAAGTATTTTTAAAATTTTAATCAATGATTTTAATCAGTTTTAAAAAAAGTTTCTAAAATCTAAAAAAAAACACTTCAAGAATCTAAAACCAAAGCACAATAATATCTTGACACTATTTAAATAAATTCATATACATAGAAAAACTGCTTATTTTGTTAAATAAAATAATAAAGGAATATACAAAAAAATATATGACAGTTGCGGTTGTTTAATTTGTTTATAAAGTAGTGCCAATATAATATTATAATAATACTATAATAATAATAATAATACTATAATAATTACTATAATAATTACTATAATAATTACTATAATACTATAATAATTATAGTCAATTTATTTTTAGTATTTTTTTTAATAGTACACTTTATAAAAATAGCTTATAATTTAAAAAAATCGTAATTTTTAATCGTGATTTTTTTTATTTTTTTATAAAAAGTCATGATTTTTTCGAACTCTGATCTATTATTGTATTATTTTCTACACCTTGTTTAAAAGCCAAAACACAAATTAAAAATATAAGGCTTCTTCTAAATACTAATAAGTATACGTTTATTAAGAGTAATTTTAAATTCTAGAGAATTTTCTGTTAAATTACGCTAGCAGTTTACTTCCAAAAAATACAAAATTGAAAAAACTAAAGATTATTAGACCTCATATGTTATGGTTGGGCTTGGGTTATTCTTATATTATATGAAAGTTCTTTATAATTTGTCTTGATTAGGGAGCCCCCCAAAAATGAATTACATAGAAAATGGAATAACCTAGAAAATAGTTTTGATAAAATACTCGAAAGTTTTGCAAAACAAAAAAACAGAAAAATTAACTTTTCTATTTAATTTTTGTTGACTCTTCGTGGTTCACCTGATTTTTAGTGTACACACCTCGTTTAAGTTTGAACTACCTATACAGTGTGACCCATTTGTTTGCGACTCACCCCTGTAAAATCTTTATTTATTGTGCGATTTTAACCGGATTTGTTTTAAAGAGTAGATCTTGATAAACTGTATTTTTGGAGCAAAAAACGCCATATTTTTACAAAATACAAGGCCCACTATGTCAGTTTTTAAGAGTAAATTTTTAAGAATTCATATTAGCGATTTTTTTAAACAAAATCTAAGCACGGCACTGGATTCACCACCCTTCAAAACGACCCTTTACAAAATTTTATTGAAAAATTTTAAGTAGAAAAATGCACAATAATAACTACAAAAATTTATTTTGTCAAGTTATCCATGAAAAAAACATTGAAATAAAATTAAACTAATAGTAACATGGTACTATTACTATAAGTTTAATTGTATTTCAATCAGTGGCGTAGCTAGCCTCGAGGGGGCCCCGTATCGAAAATCTGGTAGGGGCCCTTATACGGGAAAAGCTGCTGTCAAAAAAATTTCTGGGTGTCCCGCCCAAAGTCTATTTTGGGAAAACAAAAAAATTTGTAGGTTATCATTTAATAAATAATATATGTATACTAGGGTGGTCCATCTTTTGAGAATTTTTGAATTTTCTTGCTCTCAGGGGCTCATAGTGTTCAAAATAAATTAAAAAAAAGTTTTAAGTCCCTATCTCAATATTAACCCGCGCCGCGTTGCAGTGTAAGTTTCCTATAAAAATAACATAGGGTTTTCGGCATTGAATAATTAATTATTTATTCCGGCCAAAGTAACTGTCTAAAAAATTTTAAACTTGTCAGAATTTAACCTTATAATAGTAGCTATTCCTAAGAATTTTTACAGACTTTTAGTTATTATAATTTTAGAGTTTCAGATAGATGATTTATTTAAATTTAAGAAAATCATTTAGCTGAACATAATTATTATAATAACTGAAAATCTGTACAAAATTCTATGAAAAGCTACTATTATTAGGTTAAATTCTGTCAAGTTTAAATTTTTTTTAAACACTTACTGTGACCTGATTAAAAAATTAATTACCTATTCAAAACCCACGGTATCCAGATAGGAAACTAACATTGCATTGCGGCATGGGTTGACATTAAGATAGGAATTTTTTATTTATTTCGAACCCTTTAAGCCCCTGGGAGTATAAAACTTTTTTAAGTTCGGGGAAATTTTAATCTTCCACCCATATTTTAAGATGCAACGTTTATACGAATATTTAATACTATTATGATCTTTCATGTTGGAAAAAATTTGGCAATATAATCTCGCAGCCTACAAAAAAATTTGAAACTTGTCAGAATTGAACCTTATAAATTATAAGGTTCAATTCTGTCAAGTTTCAAATTTTTTTCTACGCTGCGAGATTATATTCTTATATATGCCGAATGTTAGTTTCCTATCTGGATAACGTGGTTTTTAAATAGGTAATTAATTTTCAGGTCACAGTAAGTGTTTAAAAAAATAAAATAAGTTATAATAGTAGCTTTTAAATGATTTTCTTATATTTAAAAAAATCTAAAATAATTATAGCTAAAAATCTGTAAACATTCTTAGGAATAGCTACTATTACAAGGTTAAATTCTGACAAGTTTAAAATTTTTTGAAAAGTTACTTTGGCCGAAATAAATAATTAATTATTCAATGCCGAAAACCCTATTATTTATATAGGAAACATACACTGCAATGGTTAATATTGGGACTTGGAAAATATTTTTTTAAATTTATTTTAAACACTATTAGCAATTGAGTGCAAGAAAATTCAAAAATACTCAAAAGATGGACCACCTTAAGGTATATCCTTTTATGTACAGGAAAATTTTAAAATTTGGTCTGGTTTTACATTTACCGTTGTACAACATCTTTTAAAAGGTTTATATTTTAAAATAATTGTAACGCTAATAATAATTTCTAATTTGCTATTAATATAACCTATGATAATAACACGCAAAGCAGACCACAGAACAATATGCGCAGACTGCGCCGCAGACAAAGCATAGCGGAAAGGTGCGGGCAGAAACAATTCGTATGAGTTCAAGGCCTTGTTGATTTAATTTAATAAATCGAAGTATAAACAATTAAATAATAATATTATTTATTTAATTTCATGTCTCAATTTTTTGAACATGTGGGTAATATGTTTTTTCTTACGCATATGCGCGCATGTCGAAGCCAATCGGGGGCCCCTCCTAGCCGGGGGCCCCGTATCATTGATACGGCTGATACGGCGGTAGCTACGCCCCTGATTTCAATGTTTTTTCATGGATAACTTGACAGAATAAATTTTTGTAGTTATTATTGTGCATTTTTCTACTTAAAATTTTTCAATAAAATTTAGTAAAGGGTTGTTTTAAGGGGTGCCGTGCTTAGATTTTGTTTTAAAAAATCCCTAATATAAATTCTTAAAAATCTACTCTTAAAAACTAACATAATAGGCCTTTTATTTTGTACTAATATGGCATCTTTTGCTCAAAAAGTACAGTTTATAAAGATATGAACAAATCCGGTTAAAATCGCACAATAAATAAAGATTTTACAGGGGTGAGTCGCAAACAAACGGGTCTGTATATTTTGTTGTTAAACCAAAACAAAAATAGACTTCACTTTTTTGTTTTTTTTTTACTGTAGTAGTGTAAGTTAATTAGGTACTTTTCTTGACTCGCCTTTCATTTTTTTCTTTGAAGTTTTGTGTATTGTAGTATTTTTCTTATGGCACAATATACAGGGTGTTTATTTTAACTTGAGACAGCTCAATATCTCGAGAAATACGCATTTCACGGAAAAATGTCTTAAATAAAAGGTTAATGTGACCAAAGGGGACATTATTTGGTGCTACCGCTAGCCACCCCCTACCCCTCCTTAAGGGTGAAACGGGGGGTAACTTTGGAAAGTCAAATGGAATGACCCGATTTTTTTCACAGAGTTTGGTAGTACATAAAAAAATGAATAACTTTTATTTGAAAGTTTTTTTCAATTTATCAACAGATGGCGCTGTAATTCAAAATTTAAGAGAAAGGGGTTTCCTTGTAAAATGTATTATTTGAAACGTTTGAAAAACAAAAATTAACATTAAATCAACAATAGTCGGCTCTGAAAACAATTTATAACAAATGTTCGAAATGTCGTCCTTCCATTTCGACACCAAGTGGAGCACCAGCGTCCCTGGTCGGTAAACGTTTGGTGCGGTACCTTAAGCGAACGATTAATCGGACCCTTCTTTATTGACGGTGCATTAAATGGCGAAAAGTACCGGAATTTTCTAGAAAACGATCTGACGGACCTTTTGGAGGATGTACCACTAGCACGGCTCCAAAACATGTGGTACCAGCAAGATGGTTGTCCTGCACATTATTCGACAATTGCTCGAGAGGTGTTGGATCGGGAGTTCAATGTCCGGTGCACCGCGGTGGATCGGTAGACGTGGTCCAGTAATTTGGCCTGCTCGATCACCTGATCTTACGCCACCAGACTTCTTCCAGTGGGGTTACTTGAAAGAAAAAGTTTACGCTGCAATTCCTACCACTTGGGAGGACATGGTGGAGCGGATCAGGAACGCCTGTGCGGCGATACCGCACGATATGTTGGCGCGTTGTGTGCCAGAATTCATTACCCGCATTCAAAAATGTGTTGAAATGGAATGACGACATTTCGAACATTTGTTATAAATTGTTTTCATAGCCGACTATTGTTGTTAATGTTAATTTTTGTTTTTCAAACGTTTCAAATAATACATTTTACAAGGAAACTCTGTGAAAAAAATCGGGTCATTCCATTTGACTTTCCAAAGTTACCCCCCGCTTCACCCTTAAGGAGAGGTAGGGGGTGGCTAGCGGTAGCACCAAATAATGTCCCCTTTAGTCACATTAACCTTTTATTTAAGACATTTTTCCGTGAAATGCGTATTTCTCGAGATATTGAGCTGTCTCAAGTTAAAAGAAACACCCTGTATAAATAATATTCATATTAGGGTCGTAATTATTTTTTTGTAAATCAGGTTTTAAATGAACGTAAATTTTTTGACACTATTTTTGGTCACATTTTAATTTTGTTTCCTCTTCATAAAACAGCAATATGTGAGTTGGGGGCTTGAGCCCCCCAAATTGAAAGGGCTAGCTACGTCTATAGATTGGGTAGACCTGATATACTCACATTAATATATGTTTCGTTTCTTTTTGAAATAGAATGCATACTATCCTTAATAACTGTGAACAAGGCATCAATATCATGGCAAATTTTTTGCAACTCATTTGTAACTTTTTCAGTTTGTTTCCCATTGGCATCAAATAGAGTTAAAATATTATTATTAGCTATATTTAAAGCCTTATAGATTTTGCTATCATGGTTCTTTATTATTTTTTCAATATTTTTTATTTCCTTTAATTCTAAATCTTGTCTAAAAATACAAAACATAAATTGGTGATGTATTTTTAATAATGGATACACGTATACTTTTTTGATAACATGTCAATTAGTTTTTCCAATGTTGTACTTATTTCTGATTCAATTTGGGCTTCATCCATTTGAACTCTGTGACAGCTCTCCAAAAATATTTCTTGATTTGATAAAACTTTTTGAATATTATTTTCTAATTCCTCAGTAAAATTTTCTAAAAAAAAATATGATAAAAGTCACTTTAATTTAAAAAGTAAACTTATTACCACTTATATTTGTTGAGATCTTTCCAAGTTTGCCTACTTGCACCATTAAAGACCGCATGCCATTCTGCATGTTTGTTTGGGTCCAATTTAGCATTTTTGTTATTGTATTTAATTGTTTTGGAATGCCAGATTCTGATTTTCCTTTAAAAGTGCCCAGTTCAGAAACCTTATAAAATAGAAGTAGAAAAATATTATTTTGAATTCAATAATATTAAAGCACGTACCACAGTCTGCGCATGCCTGTGCAAGATTATTGCACGTAGAATTGCAGACAGTAATACTAAAGGGTGGGCCATCTATAATTGCTGACAGTGGTTTAGTTTTAACCTTCCGATTACAAAATATGCACCGAATAAATTTGGATCAACGTTTCGAAATACTCAAAACTTACTTTGAATGTGACTGTGATTGCAGAGACGGCAAATTGCATTTGGAAGAAATGAGGCGCCGTCAAACCAAAGTATTACGAATTTGATCAAAAAATTGCGCAGAAATGGAATGCTGGTGGACATAAAACATGTTTCGCATGCTCGTCCTAGACGTACACCTGAAGCAATCGCTGCTGTGGCCGAAAATGTACGCATGAACGCGTCAACATCAACTCGGCGCAGATGTCAACAACTCGGCCTTTCCCGTACCACTCTGAGGATGATTCTGCACAAAGACCTCGGTATGTTTGCGTACAAAGTCCAGCTTGTTCAGGAGTTAAAGCAAGTTGACCATCCACAACGTTTTCGCTTTGCTGAGTGGACTTTAAACCAGTTGAACGATGACCCTAATTTTGCAAGAAAAATCATCTTTTCGGATAAGGCGCATTTTTTCCTCGGAGGTTATGTCAACAAGCAAAACTGTAGGATTTGGGCCACGGAAAATCCACATGTCGCCGTAACAAAGCCTATTCAGCATTTAAAACAAAACATTCAAGCTCAAATTGCCTAAATAGAGCAGCAAACTTTTGACAAAGTGCTCGAAAATTGGTATGGCAGGATGGGCTACTGCCGAGCCAGCTGAGGTGGCCACTTAAATAAAATCATTTTCCATACTTAATCGGAAGAAACATTGTATCAAATAAAGCAAAATTCGTTGAAAAAAAATCAGTTTTTCTTGTTCTCATTGCTATTTTATAATTCAACATAAACATGGCCCACCCTTTATATATTATATAGTTTTTTAGTTTAGTTTTAGTTTCTAATACCTTTACTGCGTAGTTGTTTAAATCATCTTTAATTTCCTTCTTCATCAATACAAGTTCGTTTTTATTTTCAACGAAGAGAGTTTTAGTGTAATTCAATTTGTCATCCAAATCCTTGTCGGTTTTTAAAACAACATCGCCAAGTCTAGTTAATTGATTTTCTAAACTAAAGAATTTAGCGTCCAAATTCAACTGAAACAGAAATAGTATATTGTGCGACTAGTGGGAGAAAGAGCGTTTGCCGCACGAGCATAGGTAAGACGCGAGTGGAATCTCATCTTTTGACCAATAGTCGCACACAATATTTTATTCAACTACCACAAAGAACTTTAAGCCAATTTCAAAATAACTTGAATGTAAACAATTTAATTAATTGCTCTAAAAGAATATTTCAACAAGTTGTTTTCAAGAATATTTCAAGATATTGTGTACGACTATTGGTCAAAAGAGAATATTCCACTTGCGTGTTACCTCTCTTGCTACGCTCGTGCGACAAACCCTGCACTCGAGGAATCTCCTCTTTTTCCCACTAGTCGCACAATATACTATTTTTAAGTGGTATAATGAAAACAATATTTTCGGACTTACTCCTGCAGATATCTTTTTAAATTCAGTTATAACTTCCTCCGTGAGATCTTGTGAAGACCTAAAATTGTCTACTGCTACTAAAGCTTCTGATATATCAGCCGCCATTTCCGCATCTTTATTGGTCATCAGGGTTTCCATTTTTTCCAAACGTGACAATGCGACCTCCAATTTTCCCTTAAAAAAATATTTAAATTAATAACACTAAGTATATAACAAGTTTTTTAAAAAGTTTATGTTTATCTGCAATTTGTCAAAATGTTTGTTTTAGCTACAGGATGTCAATATATATTTAATAGTTACTTTGGTACATTTTTGTAAAAAAAATATTGTTATATTGTTTGCACTAAAAAGTTTAACAATTTATTTTATTAAGCAAGCTACTGTAATATTCGTCTGCACTATACAATGTATGTATATTTTACATGAAGTGTGTGATTTAATACCACAATACAATGAGTTATTTATGCTATTTTATCTATTTTGCAAAAATTCTATAAAAAAATTAATTTTATACCTTTAATTTGGTCGAATTTTACTTTAGATAGTTAGTATCACAGTCATTGGTTTGACAGTTAATGTCAAAATCGATTCGCCATGCCGTCCTTAATTTACTGATTTACAATAAGCGGCTGTTAATGTTAAAGAAGAAAAAAAGAATTTTCTTTGGTTTTAAACAATTTATTGCCAGAAAAGTCTCGTAAGTACTAGAAAAATCATAAAAATATTATAACCAATATGCAAAATATTATGCTGTTTAAAGTATAGCCAACCTATAAAATCAAAATTTTGGGTGGGAAAAAGTATCTTATTATAGCACGGTGTTATAATTAAGTCATTATTAACGCAAAATAGATAAAATAACGTAATAGTATAATAGTATTTTATGCAACGACCATTTAATGATTGCTATTAAGACATGAGCATGAGAATTATGACATGAGCCAAAGGCAAATGTCACAATGAGTGCTAGTATCTTAATATCCCCTTAAATGGGAGTTGCATACACATTTTTTCTACGACTACCATAATAAATTGAATTAAAAAACATTTAGGTAATTTTTTGTCAAAATTGATAAATATTAGATCTGTCAGATGTCTAAGGCAATAGTTGATATTGAAAAATCATTTCCGTATCACATTTCTATTGGTTTATATTGCCGTGTATTGCATTTCTTTTGGTTAAAAAAATTTATCGTAATAAAAATGTATATTATTTTTGTAGATCTAATAGACAAAATAAAGTATGGGAGTAAAAAACATAGTGAAAATTCTTTACGTGTAATTTAGGTAAATGCTGATTTATAGATTGCCTTCCTTCCTTCCTTCCTCCCGTAGAAGATGAACAATACAATCCCCTACGGGAATCTATAAACGGCACTACGGTTTTCGTATTGTTCATATTTTACGGGAGGAAGGAAGGAAGACAATCTATAAATCAGGCTTAAGGTTTACCTACCTGTGTTTTCTGAAGGTTATGATCAATTTTTCTTTCCATATAATTTAGCTTGTGATTGAAACTCTCATAAATTGAATCAACTTTTCGGTGCATATTTGTATTTGCCATATCATCTTTAAAATTTTTACTGCTAATATTTTCTGAAATTTTATCCAAGCTCAGCATAACCAACGTTTCCAATCTTATAATTCTTGCATCTATGGCATCTAATTTTACTCCGTAATTATTTAATTGGCTTTCAAAATTAGTTGTGTAAAGTACATTTAAGTTGTGCACTTTTTCTCCTATGTTATTAAGCATTGCGTGAGTATTCTAAAATGAAAAATTGTTTAGAAGAACATTTGGCTTTTGCCATGGAAATGGTTTAAAAAAAAAATTATACTGGACACTGTTCCATTTTGGTTGCGACTTTTTTTGTTAAACATATATAATAATAATTGCAACAGATTTATCATAGTTAACTTGGATAAAAGTTATTCAAGGTTAAAGTGAAATTAACCGTCAATTTAGCCGTTTTCTCGAAAAAACTCCTAGATTTTTGAGTTCAAAGGGCTAAAAACGAATCGAAATATTGTTTTTGAGCTCTGAAAATGCGAAAAAACATAACTATAGATATTACGATCTCGAAAAGCTCCAAAATTTTATGGTAGAAATATTTTTAAACGATTTTGGAAAGAGCGGTAAGTTGTAGGCAAAAAATATGAAACGTGATTTTAAAAATTGGATTTAATACGTTTGGTTCTGGGGTACAGATAAATAGAAAATAATCTTCTTAATTAAGAGTTTAAATTTCTTAAAAAAAAAACTGTCAAAAAATAAAATAAATTAAATAAAACATAATATTAACATTTACACTATACTAGGTGTCCCTAAACTTAGTAGCATAAATTTAGGAGAAGATTAAGCAAGTCAAAATAAGACGAAAATCTAAATAAATATTAAAAGATACAGGGTGATAAAGTGTTACTTATCATATCAGTTTTTTAATATATCTTCTACTATGGTAGACTTGGAAAGGTGATATTTTGCGAACAGTCACTTACTACCAAAACACATATTCACACATAATTACAATTGTTTGAGTGAACACAGTGTCGTAGAAACGGGGGTTGCTTTAAGCTTATTGTCCCATACAAACTTTGAGGTTAGGTTTTTGTAACATTTGATGCAATTTTTCGATTAAACAGTTCGGCTACCATTAAAAAGGTGTACCTGTCAAACTTCGATAAAATAAATCGTTTCCGAGATATTCGAGATTACAATAATTGTTATATCGCATTATTTAAAACGATTAAAAGGTATATGATAACTAATTTTATTTTTTAATTGAATAAACTAAAAAGGGCATTCCATGAGCCTCGGGACTTTTTGCCCTGACCGTCACATTAAAAAAAATTGTAGATTTTTCAATTTAAAAATTTGTTATCATATACCTTTCAGTCCTTTAAAGCGATATTATCATATTATATAATTATTGTAATCTCGAATATCTCGGAAACGGTTTATTTTATCGAAGTTTGAGAGGTACACCTTTTTAATAGTAGCCGAACTAAGTAATCGAAATTGTAATTGTAATTGCATCAAATGGTATAAAAACCTAACCTCAAAGTTTGTAAGGGACAATAAGCTTAAGCAACCCCTGTTTCTAGGACACTGTGTTCACTCGAACAATTGTAATTATGTGTGAATATGTGTTTTGGTAGTAAGTGACTGTGCGCAAAATATCACCTTTCCAAATCTACCATAGTAGAAGTTATATAAAAAAAACTGATATGATAAGTAACACTTTGTCACCCTGTATCTTTTAAACATACGTAATTAGGAAAAATATTTATTTAGATTTTCGTCTTATTTTGACTTGCTTAATCTGCTCCTAAATTTATGCCACTAAGTTTAGGGACACCTTGTATATGGTAAATAAAAAATAACATTTTAAATTTGTTTTTATTATTCCAAAACTAGGATTTCGAATACTTGAATTTCAATTGCTATACACGGTAAAATCAAAATAACTCATTACACAGACCATGCAAACTTGTTTTAAAAACTTTATTTATACAGGGTGTATCGAGTATGGTCCATTGGCACACCACACCACATGGTATATTAACCTAATAAGTAGTTAATTATATTATTGTAAAACTTCATTTTCAAAGGATTTTCATGAAAAATAATAATTTTATGACCTAAAATAAAAATTAAAAAAAAACCTTACCATAACTTTTTTCTTTAAATTTTATTGTAAAAAGTGGTTTTCTCGTTCTGAAAAGCAATTTTTATAGTAAAATAATGCATTTTTGTGAGGAGATATCTATTTTAGAATAAATTAATTATTTTTATGAAAATTTAAGTTTTATTGCAATTTTTATTTTATTTTTATGTACTATACTGCCGTGTTAAGCTTAAAGGTCGTATCTGCAATATTTTGTAGTAAAGGACAGAAGAAAATTTTAATTTTTAAAAACAATAAAGAATAAAGTTTTTTCTTTACTACCACAAACTGCCCACGGTGCTGTTCTGAGAGGTGATTTTTGGACTTTCTGTGAAACCTAATTTTTTTTTATATTCTTGTTAATTAGGTCATAACTAAAATTTTAAGAGCAAAATAAAAAAAAAATTGACGGTTTGAATTGTTTTAATTGGCTGTTTATTAAAAATATTATGCACACTTTCAATTCTCCAATTAAAACTTGCGATTTTATTTAAATATTATCATAACTTTTTAAATCAGATTAAAGATTAGTTAATTTCCTTAAAAAAGGTCTATACAGGGGCGTGCTGGCTATATCAGACCGGCCCGGGAAATTCAGAAAAATCGGCCAACTACACACGAAAAATGGGGGGTGAACAAAACCAAGTTAAAAAATTTCAAACATTTATTAATATATTAATAATTAATAACATAAAGTATAAATTAAATTCTTGAACAAAAAAAATAGGCAACAAACACAACCAGACAATATTTTAAACAATGCTAAAACATATAGCATTGCACTTAAAATAAAAACTAATACAAATTATCATCGCTCAGGAAACTTATAAAACAATATACAATCTCGAAAAAAGAAACAAAGCTGGCAGGCTGGCATGCATGGTATGTTTAAAATAATTATGATATTTATACATAACTCGACTAAAAAAGTTTTTAATTGACCACGTGCTGCGGCATGCTGCCTACATAGCCCTCCGGCACACCGGCCCACTTAGCCCTCCGGACCACCGGCCCACCGGGATTTCTCCCGGTGTCCCGGCGGCCCAGCACGCCCCTGGGTCTATACATTTTTTATATCTTTTACTGTTTTGTTGTAATACACGTTTAAAGTTTTAATTTAAGGTTAAATGTATAGTATACATTTATTAAACAATAATTCTAAGGGTGCCACATTTTATTTAGGGCCGATTTATTCATTTTTGATTTATTTGGCGAATAATTTCTTTGGATACTATATATTGATAAGACATGAAAGTTATCGGCCCGATAAACTTTACTAAAGATGAATAAACCGGTCCTTAGTTAAATTTCATGAATTTTTTCGTAACTTTTAATACAATTTTTCATTTTTGTTTATAAAAAACACTTTAAAAAACTAAACAAATATTATAGAATACGTATACTGAAAATGACAATTCAAACGTCAAATAAATTTTTAATAGATCTAAGTTTCCTGGCAACCTTTAAGGATATATAAATTAAGGGAACATAAATGTATACGTCAAAGGTTAGATTAAAAGTTTGAACGTTTATTGCAACAAAACAGTAAAATATATAAAAAAAATTGTAAAAACCTTTTTTTTAGTTATGCAAATATTAAATATTTAAATTAAATCGCTAGTTTTAATTGGATAATTGAAAGAGTGCATAATATTTTTAATAAACAGCCAATTAAAACAATTCAAACCGTCAAATTTTTTTTATTTTGCTCTTAAAATTTTAGTTATGACCTAATTAACAAGAAAATAAAAAAAATTAGGTTTCACAGAAAGTCCAAAAATCACCTCTCAGAACAGCACCGTGTGCCGTTCGAAGACAAAACTTCATATCTCCAATATTTAGTAGTTAAGCAAAAAAGCCATTTTTTATCGTTTTTTTAAATTAAAATTTTCTTCTGTCTTTACTACAAAATATTGCAGATACGACCTTTAAGCTTAACACGGCAGTATAAATCAAACAAGACTTTTTTTATACAAAAATTTAAACCTAAAAATAAAGTGTTTTTTTTAATTTTACTTCTAAAACGACCTTTGTGTCATAAATAAAGATAGAAAACAGTTATAAACGCTTAAGTAGAGTAAATATTATAAACTTTTCAAAACTGAATATTGCGATAATAAGTTTCTTAGTATTTCATTGTTAGTTAATAAACAACCAAAACGTAAGGTTATTAAACATTTTTTAAATGCTATCCTACCTGTTGCTTGTGGACATTATGATAGTCAATTGATCGTTTGTGTTGGGTTACAATATCACTAAACACCGTGTTCACGAAACAATGGAGCAGAAAAATGCAAAAAAGCGTTTTTCGATCGGACCGCATAATACTGAAAATGGTCACATGCGAGCGACACGCGTACTTAAGCAACGAAGAGTTGCGGTAGGATTCGTCTTGGAGAATATATAGAGGCGATATATAAACGGATTTATTGTCTCTGTTTAAAATCAAATCGCTCCCGCCTTACAAATTACACAGTTCAGGAAACATAACACCATCGTCACCGCCCGTCCCACAACCATTAGGATGGGCTTTTGCAAGCCTACTTTGACGCTGCGCCTTCGAGCTTCAAACAATCGTTAAATTTCTGATAAACATTTATATTTACTTTCAGTGCCGTGCCGGAGGTCTAACCACTTCCCATATTATTTCCAAGAATTTGTGTTGAACTCTGTTGCATGCCCCTAATAATTTTGAATTAGGGTTAAACTAAAACAATACGTAAATAGTGAAATTAAATTCAAGTTGTATACAAATATTTATAATTTGCCTCATTTGTGTATATATATATATATAATATACAGGGTGTTCCAACGAAAACTTGTACCCCCCAAACGTTTTATCGGATGAGTGTGGACAAAATTCCTTGGACACGTCAATTTTTATTTTTAAGGGGACGAATTTTGATGTATGTTTCACGCCCCCACCCGCACCCATACACGCTCCACCCCGCCCTCCCCCTAAATTTTAAATTGTAAGGGGGGTTGACTGATATATCATTTTAAAGGTCTTTTAATTCTTAATAAGGTTCTGTAATTTTTTTTAAATCTGTTGGTTAGTTTTGGAGAAATTGCTATTTGAAGTTTTAAATTTGGTAAAAAAAAATAAAACAAAAAAACTGTAAATCAACGAATGTATTGTTCAAAAGTGATTTCCTCAAACCTCCATGCAATAGTACAGACGTTGATTAAAATTATTTCTAACATTTTGAAATACGTCTGGCGTTAATAACCGGCATTCTCTAATAATTCTTTCCCTCAATTCCTGAAGAGTCTCTGGTGGAGTGGCATAAACTTTTGATTTCAAATGTCCCCACAAAAAAAAATCTAACGGTGTTAGATCAGGAGATCTAGGCGGCCACTCTATAGGACCCCTTCTTCCAATCCAACGTCCTGGAAAATGTCCGTCCAAAAATTGTCGTACCTCAAGAGTATAATGCGGAGGTGCGCCGTCCTGTTGAAATGTAATTTGATCTTCAAATAAATTATTATCATTTTCTAGAATTTCGGTAATCATTGGATCAATAAGATCTTCCAACATTTCTAGATAAATGTGTCCATTGAGATTGTCGTCTATGAAAAATGGACCAACAAGATGGTCCCCTAAAATTCCGGCCCAAACATTTAACTTTTGGGGAACTTGGGTGTGGGTTTCATGGAGCAAATGTGGATTAGTATCGCTCCAATAGCGACAATTATGTCTATTCACTTGTCCATTTAAAATAAAAGTCCGAAAAATATGTATTATATTATATTATTACAAAACTGTAACCTGCGATCAGGGTCATCTTCATTAATTTCTTGAACCAGCCGAATTTTGAAAGGATGAAACTTGTTTATTTTCATGATGCGAAACACACTGGTGGCGGATACGCCAGAGGCTTGAGATAATTTCCTAATAGACTGTGTATTATCCATTTGTACATGACCCAACACAGCAACTTCTATAGCTTCATTTCTTACTGGACGGTTTGCCTCACGTTTTTTGTTGTGGATGGAACATGGAGTTTGAAACTTAGCTACTAATTGTTGAACTTATTGGTAACTTACGTTTTTTTCGGGATGATTATTATTAAAAATTCGTGCCGAGGCGTTTGCACAATCATTATTTCGATAATAGGTTGCAATAATTTCCGTTCTTTCTTCAATGGAGTATACCATTTTGAGAATACGTTGTAAGGTTCACAATGTTAAACTAAAAAGGTTCAGAAAGCTAAACTGATAACGACTTATTGAACAGAGCAAGAGGCATTTACTAATTATTCTTGATAACTGCATTTAAATAAATCCGTGTGGCAACCTCATAAAAAAATGTCATGCATGCATGTACTTTGAACATTAAATTCTTTAATTTACAATTTTGTTGTTTTTTTTTATTCATCAAATTTAAAACTTCAAATAGCAATTTCTCCAAAACTAACTAACAGATTTAAAAAAAATTACAGAACCTTATTAAGAATTAAAAGACTTTTAAAATGATACATCACTCAACCCCCCTTACAATTTAAAATTTAGGGGACGGGCGGGGTGGAGCGTGCAGGGGTGCGCTTGGGGGCGTGAAACATACATCAAAATTCGTCCTCCTAAAAATAAAAATTGATGTGTCCAAGGAATTTTGTCCACATGTGGACAAAATTCCTGATGATTGCACTCATCCGATAAAACGTTTGGGGGGGTACAAGTTTTCGTTGGAACACCCTGTATATTATATGTATTAATGGTTTTCCGGGATCTGCTCCGTGTTGTCGGTTTTTGGTTCTTAAAAGAACCGTATGTCTGACGACGTTTCGTTCATGTACCATCTTCAGGTCTTATCTGCTGGGCTGCTGTTGCTGCTCTGCTGCGAGTTAGACGTGTAGTGACTGTAAAATTAAAATACTACAAAGTCGCATTTAAATATTTAAAGATAAAAGGTGTTCCAAAAGACGGATCAATGTTAACATTGAAGAAAACTGTTATTTGTAAAATTTGTAATAAATTTTTTTGTTAAATCATGTTATTTGGTACCGGCACGGCAGCAAACATTGCCAAACGCATGCGTATTGTTAAAGTAAAAATCCTAAAATACGTTTTTTTCATAAGATGAAACATTAATTCCAAATAAAACCATTGTTTGAACATTCTGTACATTATACATAATCTATTTAATACAACTAAGAATAAGAATATATATTCTATTATACATATGTATAATAAACCTCTCATATCTTTTTAAATAATAAAGGTAGATTGTTTTAAACAATTTTTTGGGATTCCTGAGGTTCTGTAAATCACTTTTAAGGTGGTGGACGACTTCTGGGACTATTGTTTATTATAGGTTTTGGCGTATAAAAAACTGATTTCCACGGTAATTTTTTTGAAATAACAATTTTTCATATTAAAAAAATAAAAATTAATTAAAATTAAAAATATAATATCTCGAAAACTAGAGACACTATACAAGGTCCACCAAGTATACTTGTACAAGTATACTTGGTGCACCTTGTATAGTGTCTCTAGTTTTACATACATACATACGTATGTATGCATACATACATACATGGGTGAATATAATATATAAAAAACATACGAAATCCTAACCACCGTGAAGCTATCTTCCGTGAAGCTCTAATATTCAAAATGTATGATTTGTTAAAATTCTTGCATTAGTGCAGAACCACTTATGTTATGTTATTACTAGACCTGGTGGCTTCCCAAAAACCCCATTCTAGACTAACAGTGAAACAACCAAAAAGTAAAAGTAATAATTTTCACTTGGGGGAGATCTCAATATTATTATATAATTATTTCTTTTAATTTTTAATAATTATTTATATTTGATTCGATTGCTTTGGATGTGTTTAATTTACTTAGTTAACTGATATTTTTAGTATGTTTTTACTACCTCAGATATTTGAAAACATAGGTTAACCTAGAAAGAGTAGCAGTCACGGAGGATAGGTTTTAGACCTTTAAAACATTGTAAAAAATAATTAATTGCGGTTAAAAATCTGGAACCTGAGCTGTAATATCTATTTAATTATGAAAGATCAAAACACAATAACGGTGTAGGTCAAACTCATTTAGTTTAATTAAATATCACGGGGTAACACCATCGGGGGACATTTCGTGAGATTTACCCAAATATTATTTATTTATAAAACATTAATCTTGACATTTTGCTAAAATTTTTATATTTTTATGACTAATTTTGCTAAACTAAACTTATTTTCTTCTTCTGCGAAAAAGGTGCCAAAAGGCCAAGACCATGCTTGATTGGCCAATTGGATTAAATATTATATTAATAAAAGAAAGTTTGAAAAAAAACGGGAGTTTTGGGCTAAAAATGTAAAATCGTCTTATACCTGGAAAACTTTCTTTACCATTATGTAATTTTATTAAAAAATATAGACTTGTGTAATTAATTTTTATGAATAAAAACTACGCATGAAAAAATACACCCGTCTATGCTGTACTTGTTGTTTGTTCACATGGATGAATTGGTAACTATTTATTTATTTATTTCCTTTTATCTTTATTAGCTTATTCTAAAAATATAAATAAACCATATCAAATGCAAACTTTGGGGTAGCTAACTTTAAATACTTACCAGAAAACATGTTAAATATTTACTTTATGTTATTGCTTTAAATAAAATACACGGATAAACGAGCTTGGTGCAAAAAATAATCATAAATAATAAGACGCAGATATAATTTACAGACCTTGTCAGAGAACATTTTTCCTAAGTGGTTTTTTTAGCGAATCTTATTCTGCTTTCATGTGAGAAAAATATGATTGTGTTTTTTGCGAGTTCCATTTAATTATGATATCATTTAATGTATCAAATGATAAATTGTTAAAAATAACAATAATTTCTGTATTTTTTTCAGGCCGAACTGATTCACATGAGAACCGAATTGGTGGATTCCAAGGCGAAAAGAGAGGTTTTGGAAAGGGAACTGCACTGTCTGCTGTTGCAGCTGCACACGCAACAACTGGCCAAATTGCCCGAGAGCAAGTTGTCCGGCAAAAAGGATCAACATTTTATTCCAGATGTAAATAATATTAAGAAAAAGTTCGAGGCCGAAATCAAACAAAGTCCTGTACACTTGGTTTCTGGTAAGAAAAATTTAAATGGATAATTTGATCACATAATTTTTTGTCTTATCTATCTATTAACTTTATAATATTAAATATTTTTTGTTTTATCTGTTTATTAACTTAATATTTTTAAGTTTATTAATACACTGCCCGTCAAAATTAACGCATAATTCTAAAAAAATTCCAACTCTAAAACGCCTTTACCAATCTTTTTGTATATTGTATAACAGTACTTCAACTTATATCTCAGTTTACGTGTTCGAGGGTTTTTCAAAAAAATATTTGTAAAGCCCTTTAATTAAATAATAAAAAAACGTTCTAAAAAAACTTTTAGAGAAATTTAGTAAATTAAAAATATGGTGTTGGATACCGTATTATTGTTAGTATACCTACCCTAAAATTTTTGAACAAATCAAACGAACAGTAACAAAGATACAGCGCTTCAAAGTCGGTAAAAATGACTTTGAAGCGCTGTATTTTCGTTTGATTTGTACAACATTTTACTAACAAAAATACGGTCTATGTAAAAAATATATTCAAGATCCATATGGTTTATATCATAAAGTATAATAAGTGAAATTAATAAAGAGTTAATTTAAACGTATAAAAAATGCGTTAAGCAGTTTTTTGTCGGTTTCCTTCACAATTTAAACCAAGTTAGTCTTGTTCTATTATTTTGATCCCTTTAGGAAGGCACTGAATAGTTAAAAGTTATATGTATGTATTTTAAATGTTGGAAAAAAATTTACACAATCTGTAAATACTTCTTTAAATTTTAGTTTTTAGGTAACTGGTTAAAATAAAACATGTTATAATAAAGGGGTTTATTTAGAATATTTTTTGATTTTCGCTCATTTTTAACAATTTAAAACTTGAATAAACTCAGAACTTGAATATTTTTTATGAGAAAGAGGTCCAAAATTATGATATGTTCTTGCATTTTTAATTGCAATTAAATTATTGAATATCGAACACTCCGTCATTTATTACACTTGCAAACTTGCAAACTCTTTGAAATAACAATTTATGTAAATACGCACAAATAATATTTATGAAATATTTTTGACGTTACTGACATTTCTCTACCAAACATGAATTGACTAAGTCAAAGCCATCTAAATTTTAAATTATAAATAAAACTAACAATATCGCTTCTTAACTGCATTAAAAAAATTATTATATATTTTACATGGATAAAAATAACAAAACAAGACTAACTAGACTGAAAAGATGAAGGTGGGGACTACATTTCCTGAAAGTTTCAGATTTTTATTTTTGCCTCAACATAATGATTTCTAAGGGCAAAATTGGCTAATTTTTAAAATTCAAGTTTCAATAATTTTTTTAATCTAGAACTTAAAATAATAGTTACGTTTTCTATTGTATAAGTACCTACTTGATACCTGAAAAAAACTTTCTAGATTTAGCAGAATAGGCACAGGAGCCAGACAAAAATCACAAAAATTGGCAAATTATTACAAATCTTTAGTGGTTTACCATTCTTTAATGAGATGAACTAATTAGATAAAAATAATTAATATTAAAAACATACTTACTAGGCATTAAAATAAAATTACAATCATTTCAATAATTGACAGAGAAAAAAGTTTTAGCCTCTTATAATAGAGTAAGAAAATGACATGATTTCAGGTTTCTAAAGGGTGCCGATTAAAAATAAAGCAACTAAAAATTAAACCGGCAACGGTTTTTCATGTATGATACCTAAAAGATCATTCTCAAATTTTTTCATTAAAATAAAAAATCATGCAGCGTTAAATTCATTTTTGGTGTTTTCATTTGGATTGACTCAACTGTATATTTTCTTATATTTAATACATTAATTGAGGAGCGATCAGACAAAACCAGACAAATTCATTTTGGTGATTTGCAGAAAGAAATCAAAAATAAAATAATTCTTTTGCTTTTGACTTTAATCTGCAAATCACTTAAATGGATTTGTCTGGTTTTGTCTGATCGCTTCTCAATTACTTGTTTCAGTTTCAAATAGTTTAGATGAATTAAAACTAAATCCGACTTCGCTGGAAAACGCAACATACAAAGCGGAAAATGCTCAACTACAATTGGAAAACGCTACGCTTAGAAACTCGATGTTAGCATTGAGTAGCGAGGTTTACGGAGCTAAATTGGCAGCTAAATACTTGGACAAAGAATTGGCAGGACGAATACAGCAACTACAATTGCTAGGTAAATAAGTAATAATGAATAAATATTTTGTTTTTTGCATACACATTTTTATTTAGGACGTGAGATGCGAGGCGATGTCAGAAACAAACTTTGGAGACAATTGGAATCTGAAATTCTCCTTCAAAGGCACAAGACTGTAGTTAGGGCTTGTAGAAGAAACAGCATATTAAATGGTAACAGTAAAGTAGCCAAACCGGAAACGGAACAGAATGGCGAAAGTAGCCAACAGAATTTCGGTGATATAAGGACGGTGGTAGTGAAAAGAAAACCTGGTCAAGGATTAGGCATTAGTATAACAGTAAGTATTGTAAAATTAAATTTAAATTTATTAGACAGCTAACTGTTAAAGTTATAATTTTTGACATAATTATAACTATGACAATTAAGCATTAGGTAAGTATTTCTATTTGTCGCCAAATCAATCCGTTAAACGTCATTAAAAAATGGATGCATGAACATTAGAACATTTCTTATCGGACGATTTTATTGACAAACGGATACATGAAAATTAAATTTCTTCATTCTTCTTGATGCTTCTTTCCTTTAACTTATGGTCTTAGCTGCCAGGGCTACCGATGGTAGTCGTCTCTTTTCTTCTAAATCAATTTTTTATCAACGAGTCGCTCTTGCTATTTCGTGCAGATGCTTTCGAGTTATCGATTTGACGGAATCGTCAGAAATGTTAGCTTGACTTGCTTTGCTATTAGCTTTCTTGTTTTCCATTTTGATTTAAATTCACACACAAATGCATAAAAACAAATAAACAATCACATACACCAAAGATTAAATATACTCTTTGTACTATGCTCCACACCTCAAAGTCCCACCACGTGACCACGTACGGAACGCAGAAAGAAAATTTGGCATTTGGTCAACGAAGGAAATAATATTATGTTTAGGAGTTAAAAATGTATAAATCTTTATAACATTACTATAACAATGGATGGTTTAAGAATTTAAGAATATAAATACTGCATTTAATGAAATTCCAAAGTGTATGGTGTCAAATAAGTAATATTTTTGTGCATTTGGTCCAAATATCTGGTTTTCTCCATAAAATAATTTTAACTAAACAGCATTTATTAAAAAAAATCTAGATTTTTAAGCTGTATGAGTTTTTTTTGTTAGCGATAGTATTTTAAATGTTGGAAAAAAATTTACACAATCTGTAAATACTTCTTTAAATTTTAGTTTTTAGGTAACTGGTTAAAATAAAACATGTTATAATAAAGGGGTTTATTTAGAATATTTTTTGATTTTCGCTCATTTTTAACAATTTAAAACTTCTCAGAACTTGAATATTTTTTATGAGAAAGATGTCCAAAATTATGATATGTTCTTGCATTTTTAATTGCAATTAAATTATTGAAACAGCATTTATTAAAAAAAATCTAGCCTCTCTATTATGGAATAAGAATATCTGTTTTAAAGGTAGGTTAATACAGGGTGTTATGTAATTATATATTAAAATGGGTAGTTCCTTGGGGTCCATGAAGAAGGACCTGAAACTTTTTTTTCTAAATTCCAAAGACTAAAAATAATTTATAATAACCTTTATCCTACCAAAAAGTACGCCACTGATCGACTAGGAACCTCGGATTAACCTTACCTATTACTTTTTAATGCAGTGTTGCCAAATGTAAAATTAAAAATGTATTATTATTATTGAGATGCTCAAAATCATTTCATTATTTAGAATGCAAGCTTAAACTCTACGAAGCATGCTTTCGCGCACCCGCGTAAAAATGTCTGGACTATTTACAATTAAGTTCCTGAGTTGCTGCCTAAATCCCGTCTATCGTAATGTGGCCTCATCGGTATACAAAACACTATGGCTCCAATAAGCATCTTCTTGATTTTTCTGTATATACCAATGGCAATTACAACCGCATTGCATAATCTCCATCCTGAAGAGCTTGAACTTTTTGTAGGTGATAGGGGTACAAACTATTTTCGTGAATCGTGCGCCACGTAACAAAGTTGGACATTTGTCCAAGTTGGGCAGTTAATCGTCTTGTACTAATTCTCGGATTTGCTTCCACTTCGTCCAAAATTTGTTCTTCAAGGGCCACAAATTCACGTCCCTGAGCCCGACCCCTATCAACAACAAATGCGCTAAATCTTCCGCGGTCCCTTAAATTTTGCACAGCACGTACAAAACTTTGCTCCGAGGGCGGTGGATGTCCGTGATTGGCGTTGTGATAATTTTGAATATACCTACCTACAAAATTCTTGCTTGACGAGCATTTTGCATCGCTTCCCCGTAACACAAAACCATATTTGTTAATTGAATATTTGTGAGCGCCCGACCCGTCATAGCATAAAATCTTTCGCACTAATTACTTATTATTATTACTAATAAAATACAAATTTTCAAACTTTCAAAATATTTATAAAAGAATAAAAACCTAAAAAAACTTGAAAAAAATAAAAACCTGAAATCGCTAGATCACTAATTAGACCCAGGGCCGGGCCTAAGGGGGGTGTAGGGGGGGGAGTCACACCCCCCAAAGTCTTGGCAGTTGGTTTCAAATCCAAACACGGTTGGCAAAATCTATAGTATTTGGGTCGGTTGGTTGGGTATACCCAAAGATAATACATTATTATCTTTGGGTATACCTACCCTACCAACCAACCCATCACAATAAATAAAATGAAATATAATTTTTAAACTTTACCTACATATTACAAAATTATAATTTTTAATCTATTGTAACCTCTTATAATCGTTACTGTCAAGAAAATTGTATTGGTCAACCTTATTTTTATTAAAGGACATTATATTTCACACAAGCAGCATGTACAAAGTCGGCACCGCTTCGCGGCTAAGTAAAACTAGTGTCAATAAATAGGAATTAATTTTTTTTAATATGGAAAAGAAAGCTGGACCGGGCCGAGTTCTAGTAAAATGCTCATTATGTGGATCTGTGTTTAACAAGGACTAGAAAAAAATGCATGAGGAAAACATTCACGGTGGAAATTTTGTTAAAATTAAAATTGTTGCTGTTCCGGATAATCCACTTTCATTGGCAGCAAATCAAAAAAAAAAGAGAACGAGAATCAATCCCATCGACTTCGAAAGAGCATGCTAATGGTAGGTAAAGACATTCTTTATCTACACTTTACAACACTTTACATACATTATAAAAGTAGTGAAAATTTTTACTATTACTACTAAAGTATCGATAAAAAAATAAGTTGGTTTTTATCGTCTCCACCCCCCCAAAAAAGTGTGCCTCGGTACGGCCCTGATTAGACCTTGTAAAAATTTGTAAACTAATGATTTTTTAAAAATCGTTTTAACATTGTGATTTAAAAACATACTTATAAAAAATATATTTCAATTTAGACACACCAGATTTAAACTTTATTCATAATTCGAAATGATTTACTTTACTTTAAGTTAATCTGGTTTAATTTATTATGTTGGTTGGTAACACATTCTGTCAAAAATTGTAGGTTATGTGCTCGAATTGAAAATATTTTACTTTTTTATGTAATATTTATTTATAGGTTTTTAATTGTGATTTATATATATGTACCGGGTGTTACTCTTTAATATTCAATTTTTTTTTTTGGACTAGTCCTATAAGCCTTCGTGTTTTGTATTTAAAATATGTATTAGGCTTTAGTTGATGAATAAAGATTATTATTATTATTATTAATTGTAAATATCTTAACTAAGGGAAGTGCTTTTGGGCGTTTGAATTTATTTACACAAATTGATTGTTTAACTAACCTGTGAACTTGTCCTAATTTCATCTGAGTAAACAGAAAGAAAAAAACCGATGAAAAAATTAATTTTATGGAGTTTTTAAATAGGTACTAATTTTTCTTATCATTGCTTAAGTTAATAGCTGGATGAGTAAATAAATACAGAATGGTATTAGAACTTTAAGGGCTTAAAACTTTTGTATTTATTTATTTTATGCAAGAAAATTTTTTAGTAACAATTTTTTTACAACTGGCAACGCGCAGTTACTTTGTTGGTTTGTATCTATGTACTCACAGAACACAAGTGTGTAACCAGTGGCGTATCACAAAAAATATAAAAAACTTCTAATGCATATATTTTCCTTATCTTTGGAAAAATATATTTTAAAATATTTTTCCATTACACCTTATGTCAAAAGGTATTCAGTATTTTAATATATAACATTAATTACATAACACACTGTATATTATAAAAAAAATATCATCTAATTTTGTAATTTTAAGGTTGGAAAAATTTATTTTGACCAAAATAAATAAGTATTTTAGATTATTTAAAAGACTGTATAATATGGTATTTAAAAATGTGGTACTTTTTCTTATCCAGCTTAAAGTGTACCTACATAAAGTTTTGTGAATACAAATAGTTAAAAAGCTTCAACCTAACTTGATCTACATCGAAAAATCATTATAACTTTAAAAATTTTAATAAATCACATGTCATGGGAGTATTAAATATTTTCACATTGCAAGTTTCTCTAAAAATTGTTTGTTTTCTTAAAATCTAACTTAAAGTAGGTATGCCAAGAGGTATGCACAAGTTTTGTCATTAGAAGTATAAAAGCTTCAATTTAGTTTGAACCATATTCAACAATTGAAGGGGTTAGAATAGAAAGGGTATAAGTGCAATTTCTTTAATTTAGGAGATAAGTTCGTTTTGTGAAAGATAAGGTTCCGACGTATCGAAATGAAAAGGATTTAAGTAATTTTCATACTTCTAGGGACCTCTATTATCCAGTAGAAAAACAATACTAAACAAAATTCTTCACTTTTTTATGGTAACATAACTTTAGCTTCAAATATCTCCAAAAAATGAAAATGTTACTTATACCCTTTTTATTCTAACCCCTTCAATTATGTAGTATACCTATATTTATTTATGACCATATTAACACACTCTTCCAAATAATCTACTTATTTACTTTGGTCAAAATAGATTTTTCTAACCTTAAAATACAAAATTAGGTGATATTTTTTGTTCTAATACATTAACCTACCTTTGATACAGATATTCTTATTTCATAATAGAGAAGTTAGAATTTTTTTAATAAATGCTGTTTAGTTAAAACTATTTTATGGAGAAATGTAGACCCAATGCACAAAAATATCACTTATATTGCACCTTACACTTTGGAATTTCATTAAATGCAGTATTTATATTCCTAAATTCTTAAACCAACCATTGTTATTTTGATACTATAAAGATCTATTAACTTTTAACGCTTAAACATAAGCTGTAACACTATAAATATTATTTCTTTCATTGACTATACCAGAGACAAAGAAGGCTATACTTTGCCAAATTTTCAAAAGACTGCGTTCCGTACGTGGTCACGTGGTGGGACTTTAAGGTGTGGAGCATAGTACAAATTACAAAATAAATTAATTTGTGTTGTTTATCAAAATCCCTCTAGGTTAATTTAATGAACATTTTTAAGGTGTCCTTTTTTTGTGCCCAAGTGTATTACCTAAGGAGTAAACTTTTTTGCAGTACAATAACTTTAGATAGCCTGAAGTTTAACCACAAGTAACTTTTATTTCTTTGAGATGAGTTGACTATGTTTAAAAACAATAATTTGTGCAAAATTTATACAAAAAAATAGCAATAAAAATTGAAAAGCCGAGGATTATGGTATTTATTTGTTTATATTAGGGTGGAAGAGAGCATGGCGTGCCAATTTTAATCTCGGAGTTGGAACCTAACGGTCCAGCCGCCACTTGCCAGCAACTGTACATCGGCGACGCCATTTTGTACGTGAACGATCGTGATTTGAGACACGCGTGCCATAGAGAGGCTGTAGGAATATTGCAACAGCAAACCGGCGACTGCGTCCTACAGGTTCAATACGTCGCCGCCGACGACAGCGACAATTCCTTGGAGGATGACGGCTATAGTTTTAGGTAAAAAATATTTTGAATTCCGTATATTTAGAAAGCGCCTACTGGGTTTATATTAAGAGATAGAAAAGAACATTACAAATGTTGCACGGTGCTGTTCTGAGAGGTGATTTTTGGACTTTCTGTGAAACCTAATTTTTTTTATATTTTTGTTAATTAGGTCATAACTAAAATTTTAAGAGCAAAATAAAAAAAAATTTTACGGTTTGAATTGTTTTAATTGGCTGTTTATTAAAAATATTATGCACTCTTTCAATTATCCAATTAAAACTAGCGATTTAATTTAAATATTTAATATTTGCATAACTAAAAAAAAGGTTTTTACAATTTTTTTTATATATTTTACTGTTTTGTTGCAATAACCGTTCAAACTTTTAATTTAACCTTTGACGTATACATTTATGTTCCCTTAATTAATATATCCTTAAAGGTTGCCATGAAACTTAGATCTATTAAAAATTTATTTGACGTTTGAATTGTCATTTTCGGTATACGTATTCTATAATTTTTGTTTAGTTTTTTAAAGTGTTTTTTATAAACAAAAATGAAAAATTGTAGTAAAAGTTACGAAGAAATTCATGAAATTTAACTAAGGACCGGTTTATTCATCTTTAGTAAAGTTTATCGGGCCGATAACTTTCATGTATTGGCAATATCTAGTATCCAAAGAAATTATTCGTCAAATAAATCAAAAATTAATAAATCGGCCCTAAATAAAATGACTAACTTCTAGCCGGTGCCCCAACATCGATCCCGACTGGACAAAGAATTTATTATATATTATACAATGCATCATTATCATTTAAAATTGGCGGCACAACAATAATATAATAATAAATTGTACCTGTATACATGTTAAGGGCACGTTAGTTACGTAATAAAACCAAACCAACCCAAACTCAACAACACAACCCAACCGACCCCGCCCCATTGGCCCCCCCCCGCCCCATTGAGCAAAAAACCCAACTAAAATGGGCAAATTTATGTTACGATAAAAATAAAACACTTTTTAACAAAGGAACAACAAATTTATAATAATAATAATTTCTTTATTAACGCAAATAATAGCAGTAACAATATATTAGTTTACAGGTACATAAAAAAAAAACAAACAACCCCCAATAAAATAAATAACTCAAAATAAATATAGATTATGTAGTATCACATCCGATTTAATTGGCGTCTAAAAGTACACATTGAAATGCCAAAAAAGTTACACTCAGACATCTCATTAACAGTCTTAGTCACACGACATATAGGCGAATTGCTAGCATACACAGTATGAAATAATGGAACTTGTAAAAGGGGATACTTTCTCAAGACTCTTATAGGAATTTGCATAAAAAAACTAGCCAGTATCTCAGGGTCTACAATGAAATTATTAATCAATTTATAAAAAAATGTTGCATCAATATCTTTTCTTCTCTGTGTAAGTGTTTTAAGCCCCAAATACTGCCTTGTTTGATCAGTGCTTAGTGGAAGAGACAGCTTATAACGCATATAACGGATAAACTTATTCTGAATGGCCTCCAACCTATTAATGTGAACATTATAAACTGGAGACCAAATCGTAGAAGCATATTCTAGTTTAGAGCGTACCAGGGATGTAAATAGAGCCAACAGTGATCTGCATTCCTTAAAATCGACAGTCGTGCGCAGTAAGAAACCCAACATCCTGTTTGCTTCCGCAACCATTTTGTCAAAATGGTTGTGAAATTGCAGTTTGCTGTCCAAATTTACACCAAGGTCGTTAACCATCTCTAGAGATTTTAACTTGAAATTATTAATATAATAGGAATTTAAGTGTTTAACTTTACTTCTGGAAAAGACTATAACAGAGCATTTGTCATTATTCAAAAACAATTGGTTTTTCTGGCACCATTCGTTAAGTACATTCAGGTCACTCTGCAAGGCTTCCACATCCCTGTCAGCCTCGATACAACGATACAGCTTCAAATCGTCCGCAAACAGAAGAAATGGGGATTTAAAACTATTACCGATGTCATTAACAAAAATTGAAAATAAAATAGGTCCCAAGTGCGAACCTTGCGGAACTCCACTGGTGACATTAATGACATCCGACATAAAACCATTTAGTTTTACCCGCTGACTACGTCCCGCGAGATACGAAGCAATCCATTGGTGAAAAGGCGACTGCAATCCGTACCTCCCGAGCTTAAGTAACAAAACATCATGACTCACAACATCAAACGCCTTACTGAAGTCGGTATAAATTGCATGCACTTCCATACCCTTATCCATGCAGGAAGAGATAAAATTGACATAAGAAAATAAGTTTGTAACTGTTGAACGCCCCTCAGTAAAGCCATGCTGCTGTGGAATAATGATGTTTTTAAATGCAAACGTTATAAAAGGGATTACAAGTTTTTCATAAATTTTAGGGATAGCTGATTGAATGCATACCTGCCTGTAATTCCTAACATTTCCCTTGTCACCAGATTTAAATATTGGCAAAACATAAGAGCTCTTCCATGCTTCAGGAAAGACTCCGGTTCCTAGCGATTTGTTAAAAATAAATAAAAGGGGGTCACATAATGATGGCGCAGTTCTGTTTAAGAATAAATTGGATATACCATCCGGCCCAACGCCTTTTCGGCAATCCAATTTTTGTAAAGTAATGTATAAATTTTCATATGATACACGAATAGAGGACAAATCTACCGAATTTTTACCCTCTATTGAATCATCCACAATAATATCTGCTCCCCTTGAATTGGCATAAACCGATTCAAAATGAGATGCAAACAGATTCGCGATAGATAGGCCATCGTGACAAACTGTCCCCTCTAAAAAAACCGTCTTAGGAATATCACCTGTTCTCCTTTTACTTTTGACAAAACTCCAAAATTGTTTAGGGTTACATACCACATCACCTTCAACTCTATTAATATACATGTCATAACAAATCCGGCTCAGATCTTTACATTGTTTTCTTAAATTTGAAAAGTTTTGATAATGTACTTGCATGTTAGTTTGTTTGAACAGCTTATGAGCTTGTTTCTTTAATACTGTTAAGCCTTTTAGATCACCATTAAACCAGATGGGAAACTTACTATACGTCCGCTTCTTAGGTACAAACAAATCAATTGCCTTAAAAACAATGTCATAAAAATAATTCAACATATCATTTACATTATACAAAGAATACATTTCACACCAATTAACATTAAAAAAATAATTGTTTATTGATACATAATCTCCCTTAGCAAAACAATACTGTACATCATCCTTGATATCTAACATAACACAGGTCATATCTAAAGTAAAGCACAAAGCAGGATGATAATTATCACAGGGTACAAACCCTTCATCCTTTTTAATATCAATTTCAATATTTGAAAAACAAAGATCCAAAATGGAGTTTGATTCATTGACAATTAAATTTTTTTGTTTAAGACCCAAAAATGAAAAACCATCCAAAACACAACATTCCCTTTCTAACGCAAGGCCCACAGCCTCAATGTTAAGTGTGTCACTATCCCGATACCAATTTATACTAGGCAGGTTATAATCACCCAACACAATAATTGTGGAGTTTGGAAAATCACTGCAGATTCCCCTCACAGCCATTACATGATTTTCATATACCCTTAAGGGCGAACCAGTTGAATGTAGACACAGCCAAATATCACAGACCCCTTCAGAGATTTCACCTCCACAAACACCTGTTCCACCACTGAGTCTACCAGGGTGATTTGTCTACACTGGTAATCCTTCTTAATAGCAATTAAAACACCTCCACCGCGTTTAAAATTGCTTGTAGAACTGTTTCGATCACTTCTATATACCTGGTAGAGATCACCAACTACTTCACTGTCTTCAAAATCCGGGGTTAACCAGGATTCTGTGACACTAACCACATCAAAATCATTATTTGTAAGAGATAACAAAAACGTCTTTAACTTGGTCCTTAAACCTCTAACATTCTGGTAAAACACAGAAAAACCAGATTTATTGAAACTGCTATTACTTAAAAATTTTTACTGACGATTTTTGGCACCCCATTTACGTATTTAATAGTTTTATCGCTGACGCCCTTAGATATCATCTCCTCCAATTCTTTTCTAAGGTTTGCCAAATTTGTTCTTTGTATAGGTGTTAAGTCAGCCTTGAAATAGATAGTGCTTTCAGATCCCTTGTTACTTTTTAGAATTTTTAAGACTTCTTCAGCTGAGTTCAACACAACTTTTATGGGTCTACATTTACCTCTAATAAACTTTCCAATTCGAAAAGCCCTTACATTCTCACACTCGATCTGACTCCTAGATAAAATAGCCTTCTTATCATCACTTAGCCTCTCTTCGCTATGCTCTTTACTGGATTCCTCCACATTAAACACCATAATATTGAAAGCTCTTCGAGTACGATCATTAAATTCAGATAACATGTTTTCCAAATCAACGTTATCTTTATTTAACCCAATTGAGGCCTCAAGACTGTCCACTCGCTCCGTTAATACCCTATTCTGTTGCTTAAGCTCACTATTTTCCTGTAGAATCTGATCCATTTTAGAGGTTATGTTATCCAGTTTGGATTCCAGAAGGTTTTTTAAATCATCTTTAATACCATTTTGGAATGGTATTAATAATTTTTCAAGTACGTTTTTAAGCATTACTTCATCCACAGTCCTATTTCCATCAGAAACCGATACACCCGATGCTCCAACCTCACTTCCGCAGGCATGACAGCTCCACTCCAAACCATTTTTGATATCAGATGCCAATTTATTAAATTCCTCAGTCGTAAGAGATGTACATTTGCTATGTACCCACTCAAGAAATTTGCAACAACGCACACTTGGTTGTGTTTTTGCAATATTTGCAGCACAAACTTTACACCTGTAAACAGCCGGCGCCATTTTTTATACAGAAATGAAATAAAAAAGTAAAAAAATATCGACAACTTCTGAGTATCGAACCCGGGACCTCTCGCATGCAAAGCAAACGCCCTACCACCTAAGCTATCTAGCTTGACAACAAATA